TTTGGTTGTAACTTCGCGCGAATTCGGTTACGTATTCTGGCACGATCTCGGTATCCTTTCGATGCCACGAGGTCGCCAGCGAATACATCTCGATTTGGTCCATTAACTGTCTTCTGATATTTGGTTTCTCGGAGATTTTATGGATTTATTTGGTTACGTCCAACCTTCGCCTTCTGATCTATTTGGCACGTGTTTCTTTGTAGCGGTGTTCATAGTTAACCTCAACTCGACGCCACGCTACAGCAGTATTCAGTATGAATTCATACTGAAGACAACAAGGAGTTGTTCATAGAAACACAGTTTACAGTACAACAAACCTTTCTTCAGTAAAATCATGCACTGACAGTCTATCTGGAAACAATCAGCTATGTGAATAAACTCACTATGACTTGAGATATCATCCCAGCGTGCAATGGACGTACAGTGTAACGCAGTCGGACGTGGCGAATAAAAATTAAAAACAGAGCAGAATTAGCTACATAATCTAGTTATTTAATTAAAAATACATTATGAAATGACAAGATCTGTGGTTACTTGAACGCACAAATGACAGTGTGCGATACATTAAGTTTACATGGTTGCGTTGCGGATAAGATCACCCCGAATTATTCAATCGATTTAAACAAGGTCGTTACAAAGATGGGTGATACTGAATAATCCGCTCTTATACTACTACTACCGTGGTACAAATCTTGGAAAATTGAAGTTCACCAACTCCGTCCAACAAACTTTGAAGTTCAATGTTTGATTTGTTTTAATCACCAGTTTTGAAGGTCGATCGAGGTGCTTGTTTTGGTTCCCGATTGCTATGCAGTTATTCATATTCGTTTCCTTCATAATAATACTGATGTTTAATCTTCACTGAGCCAGACTTGTGACCATACAGAACTAACTGTGGTACGTCACGCACATGCACACAATTGTTTGTAGGACTGGTAATGCAGGCAATAAAAGTACATCAGCTGATTAACGCTCGATTTTCGAACGGGAAGTTTAGTCCTAACGTGATTTGCATTTATCAAACTTTTGCTGTGTTCTTACGCAACAAAAGTACCATTTCAGTTCTAAAGAATCTATCCTGAGCTATACGTTCGGTAGATTACTTTTTTTTTGAGTCTCACTATATTAAATAGTTACCTGTGGTTTTGCCTCAGCTTACTATTCGGTTTTTTTGTTTTTCACGTATAGACTAGTTTCAGTTTATATCACTCGTTTTGTCCATTTTTGTCCGTTTTCAGTGTGCTTTTTAGTGTTTTTTTTAAAAGGCTTAGGCTCTTGCAAGCATCTATAACATAGTTTGCTTCAACACAGTCATGAAAAACTCATGCAAACGTCCGGGATGCCGTTTTGCTGTCACAACTGGCATGCAGTGCGACGACTGCAAAGGTTGGTTCCACGAAGCATGCACAGATCTGACAGCAACTTCTTACAACAAACTCAGCAAGTCAGACCAAAAGTGGGTATGTGTCACGTGCAGCACGGACGCAGTTGTCTTGCTGAGTAACATCATTGTCCTACTGACAGGTCTTCGGAACAAGTTGTCAGTTAACTTGGATAACACTAGTAAAAAATCCGGTCGACAAACAAGAGCGTGTGACGGACTCAAAAATAGGGACGTCGACAGGCATACCAACGATGGAGCATCCATCAACACTAATGACGACGTGTTGAGGCTCAGCACCATCATTACGTCGACAGTACTAGACTCCCTAAGCAAACTCGGGTCTCCCAGCTCAGGGTCCCTGGACACAACAGTGGTTCCCAAAAACCCTGTAGGTGATTCGACCCACGTTAAGAGAGCCCATAAGAACCAGGCATCACCGCCTAAGCCGAGCAACCCGTGTTGCTCAACAGGTAACGTCAGATTTATTACTTTTTGCCGACGACGTGAAACTTTGGAGAGAGATACGCAACCAAGACGATACACAGGCACTTCAGGAGGATCTGACTCGACTTCAAAGTTGGGCAGACGATAACGGACTTACCTTTAACACTTCAAAGTGTAAAGTAGTCCATCTGCGACATGTTGCAAACTACAGTTACAACTTAGGAAACTCCTCTCTAGTAGTATCCCAAGTCGAAAAAGATTTAGGAGTCCTGGTGCCCCATGATTTGAAGTCTTACGCCAACTGTGACAAAAATGCCTTCCGAGCAAACCTTGCACTGGTAACGTTGAGGCGCATTTTTGGCCAGTTTGACGGAAGAACTTTCCACACAATCTTCAATAGTTTCATCCGTCCCCATTTAGAGTACGGAAACATAGTACTCCCCCCCTCACTCCAAAAGGACAAGGTCACTTTGGAGCGTATCCAGCGGCGAGCCACGAAATCAGTTCGAGGACTCAAATCTAAGCCTTACGAAGAACGCCTCCGTTCACTAGACCTTTACCCATTAGAATATAGGCGTCTTAGAGGTGATTTATTAATGGCTTATAGTATTCTTAACACTTCTGGACATCCTCTTAAACACCTACTTAAGCTTAGTTCGAATAACAACCTAAGGGGTAACACCCAGAAACTGGAAACACAACATAGCAAGACGGAATGTAGACACAATTTCTACTCCTTAAGAGTTGTCAAAAGCTGGAATTCGCTGCCAGCCGAGCTAGTCCAAGCGACTTCTCAGGAGTCCTTCAAGAGGCAACTTGACCTATTCTTAAGGACCAAGAACAGCATCACATTATGATTTACCAATCTCTTTTCCTCTTTTATTGTTAACATACCTAGGTTCCTGCCTGGAGGATTTGGTGATCCCCTGCTACTAGACACGGAAGCCTGTTAAGCGAAAGCTTCTTCTATTCCGTCCACAACCATTTGAACCATTTGATTAATCTCAAAGCTTTTTAAATTAGCCTATGTACTGCATAGATTCAGTTTGTTTTTAATAGTAATAATTGTTGCCTCGCTCTTTGTTGCATTTTTCCACGACTGGTAATTCGAAACTATTTTTAATAACTTAGATAAAGAAGACTATTCAGTAATAAGGATAGTAGGTTAGTCAACCTGTGTTAATCCTGACAGATTGCCTTCCAGTGAAGGTTCAGTTTCCCCTTGAAAATGTTCGCTGATGGGGCTGATACCACTTGTTCTGTTTAAGCGTTCCAGCCACTGACTACTCGATGAGAAAAACGAGACCCCACTTTAAGTTTATTAGGTCGCAGTTTGTTAACCTTCTAGCTATGACCTCGGAGATCATTAGTGCTGAAGGAAGCAAAGAGATAAGACATCAGCACTGAAATCATAATTAAAGATACGAAATGCGTTAAGACTAGTTTATGGATGAGTCAATCAGAAGCGTGTTAGAGATTTCAAGGTTACGGCGTCAACTTCAGTGCTTAATGCTAACGTACGGTCGATTCACAGGGAATTTCGTACAAAACGTGATAATTGAGAGGCTATAACAAATATAACGGCGAGTCTATAATTTGTGGACGAATCAATCAGGTGTAAGGTAATCGATCTCGGATTTCAACGCGAGAGTTTTTCATGCATTTGTCTAAATAAATTTCTGGCATTATAGCTGATATCAGCTCGTGATGAAAACCTCATATTTAATTCCTAACTAAGGCAAATTACGAAAATTAAGGTAAACTGGATGATAAAAGCACCAGAGCTTTTGAGACTTTATCATGGCTCCAGAGGCCGACTATTCTGTAGCCATACGGATGATTTCCTCTACTTCATGCATTACGGTTTTAGAAACTCTGAACCTCTTTCTAACCTTGAAAAGTTTTTAAACCATGTATAAGAAGTGTATTCACTTTATTTTCTTGGTTTTGTATAACACATTTTTACTCTATACTGACTATTTACTGATTGGCTAATATTTCTTAAGGTCACTTAAGATTCGTTCAAAGGTCGTCCATAAATTAGAGTCTTGCCAATTCGAAACATTTCCTCGTCAAAGCATTTGAATGCTCGGCGAAGTGACCACCTCTCACGAAAACCTTTGGGAGTAGCTATGCGTAGTTGTTTTCAAGTCATGACTTATTATAACTCCTAAGTCTTTATGTTCTTGAACGCATGGAAGAGGTTTACCATCAATGATAACGATAGTGATTTCATCATTATCCACGTTAGGAGTAATTAATATCTCAAATCGTGTTTTCCTCTTTCACTTCAGTTGCACTTTAGTGCGGTATTAACTGTCTTAAAAGGCGCTTAAGTGTTCATAAAACTGCATGTATTCACTTTACTCAATAGTTTCAGTTTCAAAAAGACAGGAGGCTTGATGGCCTGACTGATAGTCTTATGGGTAAAACCCACTGAATTTGTTTTCAGTGCTACATTTTCAAATTTGTAGCTTCAGGAATTGCTGTTGATGTTTTCAAATGCATTGAGAGTTGAATACTGGCTGTTTCCGTCTTCAACTAACTTGTCTTACCCTTCATTTCCGTTTTTTGATGAATGATTAATTATAAGTTACGTTAACCTCGCAAGTCAGCGCCAGCTGGCAGACGTTATGAATGCACAAAAAGATTTCATTTCTGACGTTTCTGTGTAAACGAGTATAACTACTGAGGGAACGACGCAGTTAAAGTAATGGGTAGCATCTATACTTATGATCAATGTTTAGCGATATGATGAGTGTTGTAATCACACTACGTTGTATTTAAAATATTTATATTTCATACAAACATTCAAAGTATATTTTACTTGTGTCTGAAATTTTCACCAATGGATACTTCCTAAAAAAACGGATCAAAGGTTGTAGCATACCGTCAATCAATAAGTAAATTCTCGGTTTTCTCTTTTTAAGATTTTTACCGGTGGTTTGGGTGGAAATATCTCGATCAGCATGTTTGAGTTTCAAAAAGCGTATTTTCTTAGGGCTTGTTTATTGAATATATACTATGTTTTCGTCAATTTTACTCTCTTTATTGTTCTTTTCAGAATTTGCCTTACTGGGTCCCTGTAAATTTCTGTGGTTTCCATCATTTTCAGTTAATATTAATTAGTTCCCTGAAAAGATTATATTACAATCCAATGCACTTGTAATTTATGAAAATGGATCATGAATCTGGACATCTTAAAGGGCCTTCTTCATTGTTATCACCTGTATATTTGGAAGGAAAGAATTTAGTGAAAAACAAACTTTTAGATGAACCTTTCACTAAAACTTCATCAGCTTCCAATACACTTTCTTCGCTCTCATTAAATAACAAATCATTAAAATCATCCATCAGTCTATCATACACAGGTTCAGTCCTACATTGTGATCACGAAGTAACAGTCAGACCTAATGATAAGCATCATGTGGAGAGAAGAACAAGTGTTCCAAGTTCACTTAAATCAACTCCTATCGACTGGTTAAACGACGCTATAATCAAAATTTCAGATACTAGTTTTCAAAATATACTAGAATGTACGGTTGATGATTCTATGAAAAGCAATTCTATTCATAATACATTTGGTAATTTACTGACATACGAACGCAGAGATACCTACAAACAGCTGAAAGTATGTGATTATACATTATTTAATGTATTCAAACTTGCAGCTAGAGTTAATTAGCTGCATATCCTCCTCTATAGTCGATGGCAGTCCATCTAAAGAAAAGAAAATTGTTTTGGGACAATCAATTCACTCTTGTATTGATAAAGATCCAGAATTTATACTTAAAGTACTTTATACATTTTTAAGAAACGTTAGATTTTAGGCAGCTTTGTATTGCCGTAGAGAGTTGAATATACGTACAACAACCAATATATTAATAGCTGTTGCTAGCTGTAATGAGCGGTCTCGATCTTTTATTAAGAAGTACTTTTCTTCTTGTATTCGCACACCGTCAGACTGGATAGAGGTTGCCGAATACTATGCAGTAAGTTCGAAAAATGTAATAATCTCTTTAAAGATGATAAGTGGCAATCCAAGTTTGAAAGGTATGCCAAAAGTCTTACGGAATAGTATGACATCAAAGTTCCTTGAATTTGATCAGTACCAACTTGGTAAGATGAGTTTCTATTTGCTAAATTCACTTTAACAGCTAAACATTCCAAACCCAGAGCAAGAGCTAATCGTTCAAAGAAATCGAAGGTAATTCGTTGTTTATTGGTTTGTGATCTTCCTTAGGCTCTGAAAAGAAGCCAAAATGGTGTAGTAGTCAATACGGATATCGATGCCATTATATATAGATTGGCACACTCACCTCGTATATATTTTACAATAAAGGAGCTTATTCGTAGATTGCATATATCAAGGCCCAAGTTCAACGTTATGTGCGTTCTGGGAAAACCTTACCCATCGGATAGTACTGATTTTATTCGTATGGGACTGGAAGGAGATTGGGATTCATCTAAAGCAGGTACATGTATGAAGTTTCCTATTCCTGTTACATGGGAAACAGAATTATCAGTCAATGGAAACAATTCAGATTCTTGGTCAAAACTTATAAGTAAGTTCCGTAGTATGTTGAATATTTTTAGCACTTTAGGGAAAAACATAATAAAGAAAAACTTAAAAATGGTCTTGGTTTTTATCGGTAGTGTTGTTACATTCAGAAAAAATAGCATTTATCTAATCATTACATACTGATTGATGTAATACACAATTGCAGAGTTACTCAGTTTAGTCTTTTATGAGTGAAAAATTCGCTAATAAGTATTCTAAATAATCATGCTACTAATATGTTTCCCATTCTACGCATTTTTGTTGTTGAATCGTTGGCATCTGAACAATAGTAATAAATATAATGTGAATCATATTTCAAGTACACTTCTATCAACTTAAATTTAAGGTACGCTTTCGGCATGTGGACTGTAGATACTATTTATTTGTATAAACTGAAGCATGAAAACATCGAAATTCCTCCATTATATTTTGCATTGTCACATATAATATGATTTAGTTGTGATAACATTTTAATTTAGCTCGAATCGTTCATTGACTAATGTATGCTTTTCCTCCCTAACTTTACATTTAATTCCAGTTGTGTTCAAATCCTAGTTGCATCAAATGTTATTGACTTTCTAACACTATTAATAATTAAATACCTGTGATGCTTTAACATCTCAGTTCAATGGTTATGTCCTAGTCATTAAGTAAAATGGGGGCAAGCTGTTGTATTTTATAGTCATTTCTCTGCATAAAAACTAAAGCTGCCTTGTGGCTTCAGCTAATAAATGCTTTCTGATTACCTGATAAGAATTAGTCATGAATATACTTCATCTATGTATGTGATTAACGGTTCAAACTACCACAATATAAGTATTCGGACAGAGTGTATATATAGTGTGATCCTCTTAGGTTTCGTCCATTTTTCCACAATCATCAAGATATGAAATCAAGTACTGTATAACTTTGTCTTAAAATTGGTTCACACTAGCTGTAGTTTAAACAGTGTCAACAATAATTTAACCTATAATCTTCCCACTTTTGAGTTGACCATTTATTTCATTTGGTGTATCTGTATGATTGTATATTAAAATACATGGTATTTTATAAATTAACTTTTATTAACTATCACAGCTTTAAACAAAGTCCCACATATGGCGATGTTAAGAAATCTGCGCAATATTCTGAAGTCCGATATTCAAGATGGTATTCATGAAATAGTCTTAAAGAGGCTTACAGATCCTGTAAGTGATTTTATTATTTTAATCTTGTGTTTTACAACAGATTCTCGCATTGTTTCTTTCTAATCACGCAACATGACAGTTATTATTCTATAAAAAGCGTCTGTTTACCATAGACAGAATCAGAATGAATTGACTGATGTGGTACTTGGTCAGTTGTTATATATGAGGGTGAATTTTATCTCAAAACAGTAAATTTCATACTGTAACAAAGAAGTTTTATTTAGGACTGTCGGCCAGCTATCTCTATCTTTTAAAACAATATTAAGTTATTAGTGCATGTTTTATTAACGTCATTGTTATTACTAGCTCATCAGCTAGGTACAGGTTGGTACACTCGATTTACAACTAGATTTCAAGTGTGACCCAGTTATATTATTAATCGTTTGCTCAGATTGAAGTTGGTAGGTTGGCGTTCGGAAAAATGGCTTCGTGACCAAAAGTAGAGTGCTCAGTTGACTGATTCACCGCTCTGTTGTCAAGTATAGCATTGCAGCACCCTAATAATAATGCTTACTGAACATTTATGCATCTTTTTGAACAAAATTGTTTACCGTTTTGGGTGAGGAGTTGAAAAAATATCCTGAAAATTTAATGAATGTCATCACGTTGGTTAGGTTCTGTCAGTCGGTTAATTGTAAACAGCATAGGATCTAGTACAATTGTGTACATTGATACAAGTCGTCACACTACACATAAAGAAATAAAGACAGGGAAACAAATGGAATAAGTTAGCAAAATGATCAGCAAAGTTTGGGATATAATAGTAATTATCATTTGAATATAAAAATCTAGAAACGAAAGATGGATAGTTTGAGAGGGAAGAATGAAATTGAACTATGTGGAACAATACAAATCTTATGATTTAGAGGTAGATACAGAATGAACTCTTGAACCAAATTATTTGTTTTCTGTGACCAAGTCTCTGGTTTTTACATTGTTCTCATCAGAAACCAAATTATGTTGAATAATGTATAATTTCAGTTTTTATCATAGTCACTAAGTCCAACAAAAATTAGTATATTTTCTGTTGTTTTTTAAATGCCTACAGCGTATTATTATAGAAGGGAAGCAGTTTCCGTTCCGTTATTTCTCGGCTTTTGATACTCTTGAAAAGTGTGAACGCAGATTAACTTTTCAACAATCTGTATACCGTACCGAACGTAAGTAATGATTAATGTTTTTTTCAGAGTGTAAAGCTAGTTTAGTCAACCTTTTTTAAATGAGTATATGATTATGCTCAAATATCGGTAAATATTTTGAAACTTTACTTTCGAGTTCATTTCTATTAGTTATTTGGATCCCATTGCACAAGTTAGTGGCTATCTGAACTTAGTAGCTAGGTGGATAACTCGACAGCGTTTGGAGTGAATGGTACTGGGTTCAATCCCAGTAGTGAACATCAACTCGAGGATGCAGGTACATCCATCTAACGAATCGCAAGGAGGACGAAATATGTGCTATGGATTCCACTGCTAATATTTGTTTTCGAGGGTTTTTAAAGTTATCTAGTTGTTAAGCGATAATTTAGTGGATAAGGCGCTCAACGTTCAGTCACTAAATTCCAGGTTCACACTCTGCTTCAGCTACATTGATAGTAACATCATTAGCTTCCACATTTTTAGTGTGGGTCATACCCGAATACCTGGTAGTTAAGTTAATTTACGTATTGCATAGCTGTATTTACGTGATTAAAACATCCCGTCACTGGTTCGGACTCCACCCAACGTAATTTAATTTTGAAAGACAGCTGGCTTCACTAATGTTTAAACAAACAAGGGAAGCAGATAAACTCGTACTTAACAACTGTGTTATATCAGAATACGTACCTATGTGACTTTTTGGATTTGAATTGCAATAAGCTGGTAATTGGGTCCTAAATCCCTTGTACATCACTTATTTTCCGTCCTAATTTTAGCGAATGTAGTTTAAAATGTTTATTCCTAGATAGCTCATTTATTTATTTGAACACATGAATATTGGTACAAGAAAGCGCCAATATATATGCGCCACACAAAACAATGGGAATTCGAAGAGAAATAGAAAGAAAAAAAACTAAGGAGCGCAAAAAAAAAGAGAACAATAACAAAGAGATTGGTGTAAGGTAGTGTGGTAGTAACGAGGGAACAGCAAGGTACAATCAGAAGAAATCTTTCAGGTAAGGGGGACACAACCACTTTTTATGAAGAAAGTAAAAGAAGGTTACAGCAGGATCTCCACTGGCTTCTATTCTGAGCCATATCTGATAACGTCTCTAGCCACTGTGTAGCACCATCTCTCGGACCCCAACCAGGGAGTCGTGAAGGACCAACAGAAGCCAGTCCATTGCAGATTTCTTTCATACCACGACACCATGTCATACACTGACCACCTCTCCGCTTCTTCCAACCAGTCCCAGAGTCGGCAAATAATGCACGACGTGGAATTCTCTGGGACGACATTCGTAGAACATGTCCAAGCCACCGAAGTCGATGTTTCAAGATGGTGACACCAGTTGAATTATCATCTCTGTGCCCGAACACACGATGCCGAACCTCTGCATTACTGACATGGTGTTGCCACTGAATGTCAGCAATCCTTCGGAGACAGCGATGATCAAACACAGAGAGTCGTCTAACATCCTCAACTCGGATAGGCCATGTTTCACAAGGATAGAGCAAAACTGCTCTCACCGACGCGTTGTAGATCCGACCTTTTACAGCGAGACTGACATAAGGAAGGCGCCAAAGGTGGCCCAGATTGGCATAAGCCGCTCTGGCTTTCACTATACGTGCATCGATCTTATCACTCACACCCCCACCAGCACTTATGCAGCTACCCAGATACACGAACTTCTCGACTACTTCTATCTGCTCACCATCCAGGGTGAGTACAGGATTGGAATCCTGCCAGTCTTGTAGAAGTACTTTGCACTTCGAAGGTGCAAAGCACATACCATACCTACGGACACTGATTGCCAACTGATTAAGTGCGGATTGCATGCCTTGGGCATTATCGCACAGTAAGACAATATCGTCCGCATACTCAAGGTCGAGAAGTCTTTCTCCAGGCAACAGATCCACACCACCATTACTTACATTCATCAGAGCTGTTTCCAGAATGTCATCGATGGCAAAGTTGAAGAGGAATGGTGAGATTGGGCAACCCTGCCTAACCCCACTGCTCGAATGGAACAATGGAGAGAGGTGGTTGTATGCCCTCACTGTGCCTGAGGTGTTTTTATATAGGGCTTTTAGGATGTTAATAAACTTCTCAGGCATACCCTTCTTCAATAGACAATTCCAGAGAACAGTCCTGTTCAACGAATCGAAGGCAGCCCTGATGTCAAGAAGCACTCCGATTGTTGGCCTTTGATAAGTATGGCGGTGTTCTAACATTTAGCGGAGGGTGAAGATGTGATCAATACATCTTCGACCAGAACGAAACCCAGCCTGCTCCTTGCGAGTCAATCTTTCTCGAGTTTTGAACAACCTACGAAGTATGACGGAAGCCAATAGCTTGGACGCAATCGGAAGTAGACTTATCCCCCGATAGTTGTTGCAGGAACGACGTGAACCCTTTTTAAAGATAGGGACAACTATCGACTCATTCCATGACGTTGGGACACTCTCTAGTTCCCAAACCTTTGTAAACAACGTCGTCAATTCCTTAGTCAAAAAGTCACCACCATCTTTAAAAAGAGCCGGAGGTAAGTCATCTGGGCCAGGTGATTTGTAGCGCTTCAAGAGTTGGAGTTCCTTGCGGACTTCCGCCTCATTTGGTGGATCGGTCGTCACCGGCCATGGAGGGCAGGACAGTCTGACCGATGTTGCCGGAGCAGCAGGCCAGTTGAACTGCCCTTCGAAAAATTCTGCCCATCGTCCAAGACGTCGATGGATGTTAGTGATTGGCATCCCATCATCCTCGCAGATTGTTTCACTCACACCAGACTTCTCGCTGCCAGTGGCTCGGATGAGCTGGAAGAGCTTCCGGTAGTTACCAGATGCAGCTGCTGCTTCCAGCTCATTAGCACGCTCCGACCACCAGGCTTCTCGGTCCTTACGCAAGCTTTGCCCGATTTCCTTACGTAACATCCTTCGATTATGGTCAAACTCACGGTCACCCGGAGTAGACCGACGGGCTTCAATGAGTTGTAAGGAACCAGAAGAAACCCAGTGCTTAAAAGCGGGACGTTTCGCGAACCCACAACTGACTGTTCCCGCCATTTTCATGGCGTCATGCAATTGCAACCAATGCTCATCTATACTTTTCGGTGGAATGGTAGCTAGCCTAGAAGCTAGCTCGGTTCGATACTTACTTGCAACAGAAGTTGCAACCAACTTGCTAACATCAATCTGTTGGTGGCGGTCACTTCGTTGTCTACTGAAAAGTAAGGTAAGATTGGCGCAGACCAAGGCATGGTCAGAGTCCAGATAGGTACTCCAAAAGGAGCGGCAGTCTTGTACACAACCACGCCAGCGGTAGCTGATCGCGATGTGATCAATCTGAGTCCAGGCTTGAGATGCAGAGGGAGGACGCCAGGTGGCACATCGGCGATGACTGTGCCGAAAGTTAGTGCTAGCCAGAAACAGGTTGTGGTCTGTGCAAAGTTGCAGTAGACGGTCCCCGTTATCTGACCTGCGACCAACGAGTCCCCATCGGCCACCTAAACGACTCTCTTCTGTGCCTAGACGCCCGACCTGAGCATTCAAATCTCCGGGTAGTACTACAATGTCTGTCGAACGCACTTTCTGGAGAAGAACAGATAACTGATGGTAAAACTCATCCTTGATTGGATCCGGGCTGCAATCTGTCGGGGCACAGGCGGAGATGACGAAAAGACATCGTTTCTCACGCCGATTTCTTCTCACTTTGATGGAACTTTTTAATCTAACAGCACATAACCGACTGTTAAAAGGGATCCAATCGATCAATGCTGCCTCAGCTCTAGCGCTCAGTGCGACACCAACGCCAGCAAGACCAGACGAAGATGCCACAGGGTCCCCGGATAAGCGCATGTAAAACAAGCTTTTCGAAGCGACAGATGGAGATCGAATTTGTAGTACTTCACCAGAGTCTTGAATACGGGTCTCGGATAGACAGCAGATATCGATATTAAGACTTTCCAAAGACATAGCCAGCCCTATCTGTTGTCCGACCTGCATAAATGTGCGAACGTTGAAGGCAGCCAGTTTGAATGGTGCACGTGGTTTCAGAAAAACTGCTTCAGTACTTATATTCAGTGGAAACATACAACTTTCAACCGGACACTGACTCGAGAACGTTTAGATACAGTCGAATTTCCACCAAAGACGAGCCGCTGTATAAGTATAAAAGAGGGTGAATAATGTGGTAAATAATAATAATAATAATAATAATAATAATAATAATAATAATAATAATAATAATAATAATTTGAATCATTTGATTGTTATTCGAAGCGAGGAAAGTAGTTTCCATAGATATAGAGAGTTCATCATTTGCGTGTGGGCTGTGATACTGCCCGGGTGCCCAGACCGAAGCAGGTGGTTATCTTAGGGGGCCACACCCCAAGCCTTTGACCTAAAGGTCTAACCCACAAGGCAGTGGAGTATCGTAAGGAGATGCAATCCCATGGTAGCCGGTGACCAACGATTGGTTCATACGCCATTTGTCCACGTAGGATACTGGAGCCCATGTGCACCATTGGTTTGGAATCCGGTTAAAGCGCCGGACATTCGCTTTTCGTCCTGTCATTTTCGTAAAAAACACTCCCGCCACGAGAAGGCAATGAGTAGGACTTCCCTGTCAGAGGCTGTATACGCGTGGCCGTGTGAGAGTATTTCGAGAGGGAGAGCGGACTCTCCCCACTCTCGGCCGTACCAGGGCATTCGGGGGCTCATGAAATAGATGAGTGTTCTACGTGTTTTGACAATTTTCAACCTTATCAATTTAGGTTTTATCGGATTCACCGTGAAAAGTTACATTATCATTAAAAGTGATTATCCTTTTAGAGCTTCTCGATTACATTCAATTGTAGTCCTTAACATTAATATCATATTACTTATACTGGATTGATTGAATCCACTGTATAAGTTAGAGCATGCCAGCTGATTAACAATTCGTATTGGTTTAGTGGTTAAACCATTCGGCTTACAGCTACTTGGCCACTAGCTCGAACCTTATGTCACCTATTTGAGTATACCACCGCGATAGTACTACTGGCTATCACACAACTAAAGTATGGTTCAAAGCCAAATGTATAAAGCTTGTGTGCTTGTGAAATGTAGTTACATTGTGTGTTGTTTTGTGACTGTCTCCCATGTGTGCTGTACATGGTATATGGATGTTTATCAACTTTAGTGTATCTACACGACTGTATTTGCATGCATGTCCATTGCTTTTATCTAGTTGGTGCAATATATTATTCTGATATTTTGAAAACACTGTTGAATTATATCATATTGTAATTTTTTCGTCGTTCAGTGATTCAGTTATTAAAGTCATTGTATAGAATTGAAGTAAGAAATTTAACATAACGGGAATCCCTATGGGTTCCCGTTATTATTCTTCTTCTTCACTGTAATCTTGTTTATTTCAAAAAACCTTTGTTTTACTGTTCTCACAGTTATACAAGTAATGAAACGTAAGAAAAAAACACCTAGGGTATTGAAAAAATCGGAATGGTTAGCGAAACACTTGAGATTGTTTACCGGAAAGTAAGATTTCAGTTTATATTTTTTATGATAAGAAATCTCTTGTTTGTTGTACTTCTAATTAAAAGTTTTTATGAGTTTCAATCAGCCTTTTAACAAAAGGTATTGTATTCATCGATTTTCACTGTATTGTATGTTTTTTGAGATAACAAGTATTTATTTATTGAAGTAATATGTGCATTCTAGTAAGCCAAAGTACATTAACATTGAAAATATTCTGTTAGATGATTAGAGTTAGTCAACTACTAACCTATCTTCCGTGCTAGTCAGCACATACCAGATGATTGATACTCCATATATGATTCAAATTTGCTTCGATCAGTGTACCAGTCAAAGAGAAAGCCACCAAATTACCTTGGAAGGAAGCATATGTTCCTCTAATACTGAACATAGGTCTTGATTTTGGGTGTATACAAAAATAAATACTAAATTTTGAGGCTTCCTGTCGATCATCACCGAATAGTCAACATTAGATACAGTGTATCGCTATATTGAATCAATTAACCTTGATCAAAAGTTGATCAGGAATGTGTACTAGACATAAGAAAACTTAGCTTTATAGAAAGCTCTTCTCATGTGATTTCGTTTTGAAATTCAAGTAAGCCTATTATCGGATATTGAATCTTTCTGTAAAATGTTAGTATTTAATGTTTCCAGTCAACATTTTAAACTCATGTCCATTAATTGAAAGATCATTACTAATGAATCTGTTAATATAAAAATTTTGTTCACTTCTCTACCTTCCATCTGTTGTATTTGTTAATGTGTTATAATCTCTTTCTCACGGTTATAACCCAGCTATTCCTATAGCTTAGTATTCTTGGACACCAAATCACTCGACATGACCCCAAATCAGAACACGGTTGAACGGGAAAGAGATTATATTCCAAATAACAAGGTTAGATGGAAGCAAGAAGCAAGTAAGAAGCACAATAGGGAGAACGTTAGTTTCTACATGAGAAGATTCTAGAGTATTCTCCAAGTATCGACTAGTACTGACTGGATAAGACTTAGCTAATCAGAGTGCACCAAAGCAATCGTGCATTGAGCATGCTTTAATGCAGTCTATGTCCCGCTAACATAATGCTTTATTTCTTTCGATTTATTTATAGAGTTTCAGTTGATAGTCAAAAAATTCCATAGTATTCTTTCTTGTGATTGTCAATCACTTGACTAGTAATGATGATTATAATTTATAGTACAGTAAATCCAGCACAAAATGTAACTAACAGTATTTAAACTGTAATTTACAAAAGTTTTAAAAAAGATTTTTGGTATCATCATCTACTCATGGTGTTAATTTAAGAGTTAATTAGTCAGTGAGTTCTAAGCAATATTGAACTTGGCATATACATGAATCAGTCTAAGATATTTCACTTTATATGTGCACACAGCAAGATCAAATTATGAAGATGAACACTAAAGTAGCAGTATCAGTAGTATCATTGACATCAGTGTTATTGATAAGATTAAGCATTAAAAAATGTGATTGGAGAATAAAGAATAAATTTACGTGATAGCAAGTATGAAATATTTTTGAAATTCATAATCTAAGGATAAACAAAATATGAATAAATTTACTCCATTCCTTGATTTTGGATCATATTAAACAACGTCTTCAATCATTCGACCCAAATTATCGTTATTTTAATATATGAATTATTTGCCTAAAACATAATATTTTTATTTTATGTATTTATGTTGTAAAAAGGTGGCTCTTTTGCGATCACAACACTTTGAACCGATATAAAAATGCGTTAAATACCGCTTTAGAATTATCAATGAAGCATAATTTGCCACCAATATGTGGTTCAACATTAATTATATGTTCTACTAGTAAATATGTCAATCCTTCTAAACATAGATTATCAAAATCTTATGTAAGTAAACTTATTCCCATTGGATTAGTTATATATTCATTCTTTATTCACATCGATTGATCCTAATGTTTTGGATTCTGGATAAAATTTTATGTTTTTCGTTATTTCTTATTTTCATAATTGAAGTTTTTTTTATCAGTCTGCATTTACATGAGTGCACTGTCAGTGGGTGCCTCAGTGTTACCTATAGTTATTATATATTCGTATTGTTGAATGGAGATGTAGTGGGTGTTACTCACAAGATTGTATGTAGTATGTAGCGGAACGTGGTATCGAAGTTTACACAGTTGTTAGACGGAGTGTAGAGTGATAATAGAAGTTGATGCAAATTATTAATTTTTGAAATATCAATATGATCGTGTTGAGGCATACTGATTAGTCGTTTCTTATTCAATCAGCTCTAGCGAATACTTGGAGAATACTCTGGAATCTTCTTGTGTAAAATTATACATATACAACGTTTTTCTTATTGTCATTCCTACTTTTATCCAACCTGTTTTATTTAGAATATAATTACGTTCCTGTTCAGCTGTGTGCTTTTTTGTGAACTTGTCGAGTAGTGTCCAAAGAGATAAGAGTGGCTAGGTCGTAATAAGAGAGATCATAACACCAGTAATAACAAACTAATTTCGATCTTAAAAAATGTGTCTTTTACTAATCATTATTTATTTTCTTAATAGATACAAATTCTAGGTTTCCTTCTTGGCGCAATGTGTACGTCGATATGTGAAACACCTACAACCTATGTTACAGTTGATGATCAATACAATTTAACCCCAATTGAAGTTGTATTCAGAGAAAAACGGACTTTAAATAATGACGACTCGAAACATAACGAATGTCTATCTAAACATAAAAATATGGGCATTCTAGAAAGAACAAAGCAAATGTATGAAACACGTGGTGTAAGTTTCAAATTTTGTGCTTCGATGTTATTTTCCAAGTGTGCGTGTTGAAATAAATTTCGTTGTTTGTTTTTGGTTAAGAAAAAAGTGAGCTCACAAACGGTTTATATTATATGAGTCGTTTCGATCACTTAGTTGCGTTCACAGTTACTTTTATCAGTTTTCAGCAAGTTGACTTAGATGTTATATTGGGACTGTTTTACTTACAGTGAAACTACAGAGTGATTCGAGTAGATGACTCAGTAAGCATAACCATCAGGAATGCCTACTCACACTTAATGTATTATTCCTGATTCCCCTCCCCCAAACTCACAATTATGGCGACGGTAAGTAAGAATATATTTACTTCTGTTATCGATTATAATGTAGTTGGGGAATAAGTAGGTATTCATAAATTTTCATTGTGATCACGAACCAACAAAAGTTAGATAATCACTGAAAAATAGAGAGTATTAGACTGTTGTTTCGTCCTGGCGTGGAACTCTTCAGTAATGTACATAATAATTCGATATGATCTTGATAGTTAATTGTTTTTTCAAAGTGATTTCATGGTTTGGGACTTTAGTTTCTGCACACAGTATAATGAGATTCTTATTTCTTATTTATTTATTTGAACACATAAATATTGGTACAAGAGAGCGCCAATATATATGCGCCACACAAACGAGAATTCGAAGAGAAAGAAAAAAAGGTAAGGAGCGTAAAGAAAAGACAACGGTAACAAAGAGATTGGTGTAAGGTAGTGTGGTAGTAATGAGGGAACGGAAAGGTACAATCAGAAAAAATCTTTCAGTTAAGGGAGACATAACCACTTTTTATGAAGAAAGTAAAAGAAGGTTACAGCAAGATCTCCACTGGCTTCTATCCTGAGCCATATCTGATAACGTCTCTAGCCACTGTGTAGCACCATCTCTCGGACCCCAACCAGGGAGTCGTGAAGGACCAACAGAAGCCAGTCCATTGCAGATTTCTTTCATACCACGACACCATGTCATACACTGACCACCTCTCCGCTTCTTCCAACCAGTCCCAGAGTCGGCAAATAATGCACGACGTGGAATTCTCTGGGACGACATTCGTAGAACATGTCCAAGCCACCGAAGTCGATGTTTCAAGATGGTGACACCAGTTGAATTATCATCTCTGTGCCCGAACACACGATGCCGAACCTCTGCATTACTGACATGGTGTTGCCACTGAATGTCAGCAATCCTTCGGAGACAGCGATGATCAAACACAGAGAGTCGTCTAACATCCTCAACTCGGATAGGCCATGTTTCACAAGGATAGAGCAAAACTGCTCTCACCGACGCGTTGTAGATCCGACCTTTTACAGCGAGACTGACATAAGGAAGGCGCCAAAGGTGGCCCAGATTGGCATAAGCCGCTCTGGCTTTCACTATACGTGCATCGATCTTATCACTCACACCCCCACCAGCACTTATGCAGCTACCCAGATACACGAACTTCTCGACTACTTCTATCTGCTCACCATCCAGGGTGAGTACAGGATTGGAATCCTGCCAGTCTTGTAGAAGTACTTTGCACTTCGAAGGTGCAAAGCACATACCATACCTACGGACACTGATTGCCAACTGATTAAGTGCGGATTGCATGCCTTGGGCATTATCGCACAGTAAGACAATATCGTCCGCATACTCAAGGTCGAGAAGTCTTTCTCCAGGCAACAGATCCACACCACCATTACTTACATTCATCAGAGCTGTTTCCAGAATGTCATCGATGGCAAAGTTGAAGAGGAATGGTGAGATTGGGCAACCCTGCCTAACCCCACTGCTCGAATGGAACAATGGAGAGAGGTGGTTGTATGCCCTCACTGTGCCTGAGGTGTTTTTATATAGGGCTTTTAGGATGTTAATAAACTTCTCAGGCATACCCTTCTTCAATAGACAATTCCAGAGAACAGTCCTGTTCAACGAATCGAAGGCAGCCCTGATGTCAAGAAGCACTCCGATTGTTGGCCTTTGATAAGTATGGCGGTGTTCTAACATTTAGCGGAGGGTGAAGATGTGATCAATACATCTTCGACCAGAACGAAACCCAGCCTGCTCCTTGCGAGTCAATCTTTCTCGAGTTTTGAACAACCTACGAAGTATGACGGAAGCCAATAGCTTGGACGCAATCGGAAGTAGACTTATCCCCCGATAGTTGTTGCAGGAACGACGTGAACCCTTTTTAAAGATAGGGACAACTATCGACTCATTCCATGACGTTGGGACACTCTCTAGTTCCCAAACCTTTGTAAACAACGTCGTCAATTCCTTAGTCAAAAAGTCACCACCATCTTTAAAAAGAGCCGGAGGTAAGTCATCTGGGCCAGGTGATTTGTAGCGCTTCAAGAGTTGGAGTTCCTTGCGGACTTCCGCCTCATTTGGTGGATCGGTCGTCACCGGCCATGGAGGGCAGGACAGTCTGACCGATGTTGCCGGAGCAGCAGGCCAGTTGAACTGCCCTTCGAAAAATTCTGCCCATCGTCCAAGACGTCGATGGATGTTAGTGATTGGCATCCCATCATCCTCGCAGATTGTTTCACTCACACCAGACTTCTCGCTGCCAGTGGCTCGGATGAGCTGGAAGAGCTTCCGGTAGTTACCAGATGCAGCTGCTGCTTCCAGCTCATTAGCACGCTCCGACCACCAGGCTTCTCGGTCCTTACGCAAGCTTTGCCCGATTTCCTTACGTAACATCCTTCGATTATGGTCAAACTCACGGTCACCCGGAGTAGACCGACGGGCTTCAATGAGTTGTAAGGAACCAGAAGAAACCCAGTGCTTAAAAGCGGGACGTTTCGCGAACCCACAACTGACTGTTCCCGCCATTTTCATGGCGTCATGCAATTGCAACCAATGCTCATCTATACTTTTCGGTGGAATGGTAGCTAGCCTAGAAGCTAGCTCGGTTCGATACTTACTTGCAACAGAAGTTGCAACCAACTTGCTAACATCAATCTGTTGGTGGCGGTCACTTCGTTGTCTACTGAAAAGTAAGGTAAGATTGGCGCAGACCAAGGCATGGTCAGAGTCCAGATAGGTACTCCAAAAGGAGCGGCAGTCTTGTACACAACCACGCCAGCGGTAGCTGATCGCGATGTGATCAATCTGAGTCCAGGCTTGAGATGCAGAGGGAGGACGCCAGGTGGCACATCGGCGATGACTGTGCCGAAAGTTAGTGCTAGCCAGAAACAGGTTGTGGTCTGTGCAAAGTTGCAGTAGACGGTCCCCGTTATCTGACCTGCGACCAACGAGTCCCCATCGGCCACCTAAACGACTCTCTTCTGTGCCTAGACGCCCGACCTGAGCATTCAAATCTCCGGGTAGTACTACAATGTCTGTCGAACGCACTTTCTGGAGAAGAACAGATAACTGATGGTAAAACTCATCCTTGATTGGATCCGGGCTGCAATCTGTCGGGGCACAGGCGGAGATGACGAAAAGACATCGTTTCTCACGCCGATTTCTTCTCACTTTGATGGAACTTTTTAATCTAACAGCACATAACCGACTGTTAAAGGGGATCCAATCGATCAATGCTGCCTCAGCTCTAGCGCTCAGTGCGACACCAACGCCAGCAAGACCAGACGAAGATGCCACAGGGTCCCCGGATAAGCGCATGTAAAACAAGCTTTTCGAAGCGACAGATGGAGATCGAATTTGTAGTACTTCACCAGAGTCTTGAATACGGGTCTCGGATAGACAGCAGATATCGATATTAAGACTTTCCAAAGACATAGCCAGCCATATCTGTTGTCCAACCTGCATAAGTGTGCGAACGTTGAAGGCAGCCAGTTTGAATGGTGCACGTGGTTTCAGAAAAACTGCTTCAGTACTTATATTCAGTGGAAACATACAACTTTCAACCGGACACTGACTCGAGAACGTTTAGATACAGTCGAATTTCCACCAAAGACGAGCCGCTGTATAAGTATAAAAGAGGGTGAATAATGTGGTAAATAATAATAATAATAATAATAATAATAATAATAATAATAATAATAATAATAATTTGAATCATTTGATTGTTATTCGAAGCGAGGAAAGTAGTTTCCATAGATATAGAGAGTTCATCATTTGCGTGTGGGCTGTGATACTGCCCGGGTGCCCAGACCGAAGCAGGTGGTTATCTTAGGGGGCCACACCCCAAGCCTTTGACCTAAAGGTCTAACCCACAAGGCAGTGGAGTATCGTAAGGAGATGCAATCCCATGGTAGCCGGTGACCAACGATTGGTTCATACGCCATTTGTCCACGTAGGATACTGGAGCCCATGTGCACCATTGGTTTGGAATCTGGTTAAAGCGCCGGACATTCGCTTTTCGTCCTGTCATTTTCGTAAACAACACTCCCGCCACGAGAAGGCAATGAGTAGGACTTCCCTGTCAGAGGCTGTATACGCGTGGCCGTGTGAGAGTATTTCGAGAGGGAGAGCGGACTCTCCCCACTCTCGGTCGTATCAGGGCATTCAAAATGTGTATATGTAGAAAAGTATGTTGCTTTGTTGTTAGCCCGTTTTCTTTTCTTTTCCTACAAAAAAGAAGATGTTAATACAATAAGTTTTAAAATGATCTTCTCTTTTGTTTACCAGTCACTTATATCTACTCCAGTTACGACAGTTTTTGAGAAACTCTATGCTTATTGGAAGCAGGTACGTACACCTATTTAATGAAGAATACTTTTAAAATATTTCATTTGATATCTGACTGAAATATAAAATGGAATTATTTTCATTCCTTAATTACAAGGCAGAATGTAAATATATATCTTTTTTTCCTCTTAACAGAGATACATTATGCAAGAGGAGATTATCTAACAGTTATCAGTATAAATTTCAGATGATTGACTGTAATAGTTAACTTACACGTATTTATTTCTTCAATCAATTTGTTCTTATTAAAAAGAAAGAATAGTTGAAATCATGAGTCAATTGAAGCTAGAACACCATGGAAAACCTGGAAGCACTGGACGGCCGTTTCGTCCCAGTACGGGACTCCTCAGCAGTGGGCATCCACGATCCCACCCCCCGCGAGATTCGAACCCAGCACCTATCAGTCTCGCGCGCGAGCGCTTAACCAATAGACCACTGAGCCGGCATCCAACGGTGTTAATGTCTAACTTCAACCAATCCACGAAATCGCGTCACTGTACACCATTGTCTTCAGTGAGCTGATATCTCACAACAGACCTGGTTGAACTCCACTGGTTTTCCATGGTGGTTTAGCTTCAATTGACCCATGATTTCAAATATTGAAATTAATAAAATCTCCACAAAACCCCTTCTGAAAAAAAGAAATATTCGAGAGAATAATTGTTTTCAATAAATTCATCATCAGGCTCTACAGTTATAAGTCCATAATTATATTTTAATAACGCCAAAATAAGGTATGTATTAATGAATTTGACAATGTTTTATGTTAAAAATGTCACCACGTTTGCATCTGTTACGACATATATACTTCAAAATTGTATTATTTGCAAATTAGAAAGGTCATTTAATAAACGTTAGAATGATTTGGAGTAAAGTGTCAAGTCACAATTAGTAGAATAGTTATATAGCAAAAATAAAAATGCGAAAAATGGTGTGAATAAAATGCATAGTAGGAGGATTTAATCTTGTCAATTGACATAACAATAATAATATTATCAGTTTAGGGGTTGTGGAGATTGTTAAGTTTTTGATTGAAATCATGAGTCAATTGAAGCTAGACCACCATGGAAAACCTGGAAGCACTGGACGGCCGTTTCTTCCTAGTATGAGACTCCTCAGCAATACGCATTCACCATCCCGCACATCGCGAGATCTGAACCCCTGACCTATCAGTCTCGCGCCAGGCGCTCAACCAACTAGACCACTGAGCCGGCATCCAATGTTGTTGATGTCTAACCTCAACCAATCCACGAAATTGCGCGACCGTCTTCCGTTGTACGGAGGTAGGCACCTGTTTCTACCCGACACGGATTAGCTCCATTGGTGTGAATATAATATGTAATAAGGGGGGTGTTATCAAGGTAATTACGATAAACGAATTGGGAATGATGGATGTGAAGATTAAGATAGAGGTAATAAAAAAGAGGGGGTAAGATGTTTATAATATTCAGTTTAGGTATCCGGTGATCCAGTTGTGGGTTAAGGTAAATATAGAGGCTGGCTATACTTTTTCTGTATACATAAGTTTGGTTTTCTGGAGTCGATCCAGATGGCTTCGGCTATGTAGAGTAACCGTAGTTTATCTTCTTGAGGTAGATATTTTGGAAATTGATATCAAACAGAGAAAGCTTCCTTTATTTTAATACATACTTTATTTTGGCCTTTGTAAAATATTATAATTATGGAGAGCCTGATGATGAAGTTATTGAAAAAAAATTGTTCGCTCAAATATTCTTTACTTTTGAATATTCTATGAGGATTTTTATTCTAATTAGTTGAATGTTCAATCCTAAATTTTTGAAGCTATGCATTTAAATCTCTGTTCAGCATTATTTCTTTATCAATTTAAATCAGTTGTTGTCATTCTACACTACCATAGATTTGTTACTTTTACCGTCGTAAATGAATCTTCATTATAGTTTCTATCTATTTTCAATTGATTATTCTTCATCAATTTTTATTTGTATGCGTCCGTTGATTATCATACATTTCACATGCAATTATTTGAAGATTTTATTTGCATACCTTGATTTTTCGTTAGATTTATACTCCTTTCCAATAATCGGTATTTTGTTTACTTACTTACGCCTGTTACTCCTAATGGAGCATAGACCGCCGACCAGCATTCTCCAACCCACTCTGTCCTGGTCCTTCTTTTCTAGTTCCGTCCAATTCTTGTTCATTTTTCTCATGTCTATTTCCATTTCCCGGCATAATGTGTCCTTTGGTCTTCCTCTTCTCCTTTGGCCTTGAGGATTCCATGTGAGGGCTTGTCTTGTGACGCAGTTAGGTGCTTTCCTCAATATGTGTCCTATCCGCTTCCAGCGCTTCTTCCTGATTTCTTCCTCCGCTGGGATCTGGTTTGTTCTCTCCCACAGTACGTTGTTGCTAATAGTGTCCGGCCAATGGATCTGAGGTATTTTGCGTAGACAATTGCTAATAAACACCTGTATTTTCTGGATGATGGTTTTCGTAGTTCTCCAGGTTTCTGCCCCATACAGTAGAACTGTCTTGACATTTGTATTGAAAAATCTGACCTTTGTGTTGGTTGACAGTTGCTTTGAGTTGCAGATGTTCCTCGGTTATAAATATGCTGCTCTTGCTTTGCCGATCCGCGCCTTCACATCTGCATCAGATCCACCATGTTCATCAATGATGCTGCCCAAATATGTAAAGGTTTTTACTTCTTCCAAATATTCTCCGTCAATTGTGATTGGATTGGTGCACGCTGTGTTGTATCGGTGAATCTTGCTTTTCCCTTTGTGTATATTGAGACCTACTGCTACTGAGGCTGCTGCTACATTGGTCGTCTTCTCCTGCATTTGTTGTTGCGTGTGCGATAGGAGGGCCAGATCGTCTAGCTTCATCCTAGCTGTCCACTGTATCCCATTCTTCCCTTCAGATGTTGACGTCTTCATGATGCAGTCGATCACCAGGAGAAAGAGAAAAGGTGAGAGTAAGCAACCTTGTCTGACACCGGTCTTTATTTCGAACGACTTTGTCAACTGCCCTCCATGCACAATTTTGCAGTGTAATCCACCATAGGAATTCTGTATGATATTGACTATCTTCTGAGGCACGCCGTAGTGTCGAAGAAGCTTCCATAGTGTTGTTCTGTCCACGCTGTCAAATGTTTTTTCGTGGTCAATGAAGTTGATGTAGAGTGATGAATTCCATTCAATTGATTGTTCAACAATGATCTGTAGAGTTGCTATTTGGTCTGTACACGATCTATCCTTACGGAATCCTGCCTGTTGGTCACGAAGTTGGGCGTCTACGGGGTCCTTCATCCTGTTTAACAATACCCTGTCGAAGACTTTTCCTGGTATTGAGAGAAGAGTGATGCCCCTGTAGTTATCACATTTGATGAGATCACCTTTCCTCGGTATTTTGATCAGAAGTTCTTCTTTCCCGTTTGTTGGTACTTGTTCTTCATCCCAAATCTTATTGAAGAGAATGTGAAGTATCCTTGCAGTTGCCGCTACGTCTGCTTTTAGTGCCTCTGCTGGAATGTTGTCTGGTTCTGCTGCTTTGCTACTCTTGATTTGTCTGATGGTCATGCTGATTTCTTCAACTGTTGGTGGGCCAACATTGATTGGGAGGTCCGTGGGTGCTGCTTCGATGTTGGGTGGTTTCAGTGGAGCTGGTCGATTCAAGAATTCTTTGAAGTGTTCTACCCACCTGTTTCCTTGTTCTTCAACGTTGGTGTTTACCTTGCCTTCCTTGCTTTTCACTGGTCGTTCTGGTTTGCGGCGATTTCCAGAGAGTTTCTTCGTCGTGTCATACATTTGTCTCATGTTTCCTTCACTTGCAGCCTTTTCCGCCGTCGTTGTTAAATCTTCCACATATTTACGTTTGTCAGTTCTGATGCTCCTGTTCATTTGCTCGTCTACTTCCGTGTATTCAGCTTGTGACTTGGCTTTTTCTGCTCTTGTTCGGCTGGTATTGATTGCTGCCTCCCTGTTCCTTTTTTCTTGAATCTTATCTAGTGTATCAACAGTGATCCACTCCTTGTGATGGTGCTTCTTGTGGCCCAGGACCTCATGACATGTTGAAGTGATTGCCTCTTTGATTCGCTTCCAGTTGTTCTCCATAGTAGTTCCTTCACCATTGAGTAGATCGTGAAAGGCCTGGAACTTATTGCTGAGGACTATCTTGAATTCGTTGGGTTTGTCAGTATCCTGAAGAAAGGCCGTATTGAACTTTCGTGATGTTGTCCACCCCGTTGTGCAGTGTTTCTTGAGTTTCAATTTCATCTTGGTGACCAGCAAGTGATGATCTGATGCTATATCAGCTCCTCTCTTGGTTCTCACGTCTCCCATCGTCCTCCTGAACGTTTTGTTGATGCAGATATGGTCGGTTTGGTTTTGTGTAGTGTGATCCGGTGAAGTCCATGTGGTTTTGTCAATGTGTTTATGTGGGCATATGGTGCCGCCTATGTCCAGTTTATTGAAGGCACATAGGTTTGCAAATCTCACCATTTTCGTTTCTTTCTCCGAGTCCGTGTCGTCCCATGATGTCTTCATATCCAGTGTTGTCCGTTCCGACCTTGGCATTGAAATCTCCCATCAGAATGGTGAGGTCCTTTGTTGGGCACTTCTCGATGACTGACTGCAGCCTATTGTAGAATTGATCTTTAGCTTCATTGTAGTCGTTGGTAGGCGCATAGCATTGGATGATGCTCATTGAAATGCCCTCTTTCTTTGTTTTGAAGGAAGCTTTGATGATCCTTGGTCCATGAGATTCCCATCCTATAAGTGCATTTCGCGCTTGTTTATACAGCATCAATGCAACTCCTTGTGTATGTGGGGCATTTTCTTCTTCATAGCCGGAGTATAACAGAAGCTACCCTGAAGCTAGTCGTTGTTGTCCAACTTTCGTCCAATGTGTTTCACTGATCCCAAGCACCTCTAGGTTGTATCTTCTCCTTTCTGCAGCAATTTGGAAGGCTCTCCCGGTGTCCCACATTGTAAGAGCATTCCATGTACCTAAATAAATGGTCGCTCTGGTTGTCAGAAGGGGCATCGGCCTCGTAACTTCTGAAGGAATTTGGCTTTCATCATGAGGCGTCATAGTTCTTCTAAATGAAGACCTTCTGACTCCCAGGGCAGAGTTTAAAAGGTTTGAATAATTTTTTCTGGTTAGCGTAGTTTTAGCGAGTTAGTTTTCTACGGGATGGGGACGCTAACCCCATACCCAACCCTCCTCCTTTATCCGGGATTGGGACCGGCAGTAGCCCCCGGAGGGACTCCAGACGGAATCTCGGCTCTCTGAGCTAAGATCATGTGTAGTGTGTATTTTGTTTACCTAAATGTTATATATTGGTTAATGGTTTGCGGATTTTTTGTTTCAGTTTGATAAAATTGTTATCTTTGGCGACTGTCATAAGGAAATTGTTGATTATGTTATAAATTATCGGACATACGTTTGGCCATTGAAAGCAATCTGGGGAAATTTGAGTGGTGAAGACATATGGTAAGTATTCATTACTTGGTATTTGATTTACGTAGTTAATTATTGTAATTTCATGAGATAAGTATTTTTATCATTGACCTTTAAAACGCATGTACAAATGTGAATGACCTTGTTTAACAGTGAATTCCTTCATTATTTATTCATTTCATTCCCATAAAACATGGTACAACTGGGTATAAAAAGTAGCATACACCATAGAATTCATAATTTTTATGTGTACGCTGGGACACTTCTTAGGCCACAAACTGAAACTAGTGATTTTCTTAGTGCTATGTTTGAAGAGATTACGAGATCACCTAAATCGGCGAACGGAACGAAGGCTCAGCGACACGTTGGCAAGATAAGCTAACTATTCCGATGCGTCCCAGACCAACTAACTAGAGGTAAAAGTCCAGGTTCAGATGAGGGAAAGTATATTCCACAACTCAAGCACAACTCAAGCGTATATTAACAACATAAAAATGTCTTTGTGAAACGTCACAAAATAACATACTAAAAGAGACAACGAACCAATGACATTTAGGATCCTTGCAAATGGGAAAAATAATCTGAAGATAAGAATGAGCGCTTCTGGCGCGAAAATGAGAAATTCGAATTTCCAAAATTACAAAATCTTGACGTTTACCAAGCGAGTTTTGGGGACCTAGCAGGTTGTCGAGCTTTTGACCCAGAAATTTAACCTGAAAGGTAATGGCGTGACATCAAGCTCTAATGTTCCGTGGTATCTGAGGATCATGATAAATTAGTATATTATTCGTTCCCTCATAATCATGGGACTCGTGTAAACTATTTGTTTGGAATCAGGGTTTGTTAACTTCTCTAGATGAGTCCCATGTATCCAGCCTAATACTTTAAGCTCAGACGTTTTATTTTTTACCTTACTTTGGCGAGGAACATCCCTTACATATGTAGGCAGTGAGTGGGACATTTGTGTCAGATACTATAAATGTGTGACCATATGGAGAAATGATCTTCAGAGGGGGAGTGGGATCTCTCCACCGTCAAATTTATCAGGGCATTTGGATGCTATCACCAAGAATTAAAATAGGTCGAATTGTACAAATGTATCGGAGGTAAACTGAATATGAATAATAATATGCTTAAAATCAACTGGAATGATAATGTATGAAAACACTTAGATCATTGTCATAGGTTTTCAATCGTCTTTACCTAGGATATTTAACAAGTGGTTTTACTTATCAAGTCCTAATTCACAGCACCTTCTTGCCCATGTCCTCTTTCCGAATTACTCTTCTGTTTATCAGCATCCTGTTTTTTTATTTCAGTCAGTATCTCAGTACAGACAAAACGTCTCACTCATATGAGGTAATGTTGGTTCACATCCTCATCAAGAATCTGTTTTCTCTTCGCGTCTAGTCTTACTGTTACGTTGTTATATTGGTTCTACTGATTGCGAACAATGTCTGAAGGAGTCCTCTAATCTAATAGCTATAAAATTCTAATATACTTTAGTTATGGTGATCATTTTTGTTGTGGTTGAGCATATATGGAACTGTTTTTTAATAAACTTGACTTTAGCTAGTCATCCGATTTTTGACACTCCTAAATTTGGTGAAATGTTCTTGTCTCAAACTTTAATAACAACAAATACACCTGAAACTGTCTAGCTTTCCATTATTGTAACAAAATCTAATGCATTTTTAACTGCTTAAATGAATTTTCCAGGATGTTTAGCTTGTGCAGAATACCATCACATATAAATAACGGGCTAATTTGATCCATCCATAAACAAATATGTGTCCGAAGTACCTAATGTTTACACATAACTAAAACGTTTCACTATTGATAATTATTTGATTACTGAAAACATCTTATCTACTTACTTAATCCTGTCACCCCTCGTAGAGCATAGGCTACCGATCAGGATTCTCCAACCCACTGTTGCGGGCTCTCCTTTTCAGTTGTTTCCAAGTGTTAATCATTATTTCGATGTCTGCCTCCAATTTCTGGTACAGGGTGTTCTTATTCTTTTGCCTTAAGGAGTTTAAGTTAGGGGTTGCTTTATAATGCAATTTCATGATTTCAGCAATGAAGCCATACGGTGGCCGTTAAAGGGAACTCAGCTGGGACTCGCTTATTTAACCCAACTTAAATAAATAACAATACGTTATCCTAAAAGTTCAACACTCCAACGGTCTATTGGCAAATTCAATTAATACTTATTCTTCTACAGTATTGGTTTTATTTTCGTTGAATGTCACTGTCTTAGATACTACTCATGGTTTTATTCAACAAATAGTGTACACGGACTGTTATCTAGACGATAGGTTTTGTCAAGTGAACGCTCCATTCGATTTTCTGACCGCTTGTAATAACCTTAGACTAAAGCTACACGGCAACTTGAACACAAGAAAGAGGGTGCGAAGACTTGTGATAAATATTTACTTGAATCCGAAAATAAATCAAAATGATCTCGGAATACACCACCTTTTATAAGATTTATTTATAGTTAGATTAACAGTCAAATTTGTATGAATTAAACTGAGTTATATTTAACAATAATAATTTGATAGCTTACTGTGCGAACATATATTTGCAATATTATACAATTAAGGATCTACGATCCTTCCTAAGATATTAAATACGATTGGAAAAAAATCAGTTCCATATGTCTTTCTCATTTCAATTAACAGTGGAAACCAAGACACGCGTTTGGTCTTATCTGGGACTCGTCAGCTGGATGTACCTGCATCCCAGAGTTAATGTGCACTCTGGAACTCGAACCATGTACCATTCACTTCAAACGTCATCCCGTTATCCACTTAGCTATCAGGACTCAGTAGCTGAATGGAAGAGTCCTAAATAGGATGAAACACGCGTTGTACATTCCACTGCTAGCCACTATCCATATTTGCCCATAATGCTTGTAATTTAAAGCAATATTCAGGCAATCCGCACAGGATGAACCTATACCAATAAGAGATTGATCAATTACTATCCTAAACATCAATCGGAAGATACAACACAAACAATACAAAATAAGCTATTATTCTCTGTATCATTAGGTTTTATGACTAAATGGATTAAACAAACTGAATGTATTGAGTACAATACGAGGTCAATTTAATATAGTCTAAAATTTCATGAACTTATTTATATTTACGACAAAGTTATCTCTTTCACTTGCTATAATAACACTAGTGTGAATAAATGATATGAATCAGTTTGTAATTTTTGTCTTGTTTTTATTTACTTATTTTTAAAAAGGCCAAAATCATGTAGTAAGGATGGTTGGATTGAATTCAAAGGGTGTACAGATCAAATTCTACGTTATATTGCTGAACCAAATGAAGATAAATTACTTGAACGTATTGAGAAAATGGATGAAATCTATGGACTAAATAAGAATATTTCACATCACTTTAATTTAAAAACAAAAATACAAGAAGATCATGATAATAGTATATTATCGAAACGTGATTATTTTAGATCAGGGTAAGTATTTTTGGCTTTTAAAATAATTTGATCTAAAGTTTATATGATCGTTTGGAGATAAATCATTTTTTCATGACACAGAATCATTTGAGTAATACAACAGCAAGCTTTTTTTGTCGATATTCTAAATTTTTCAATGATGTGAACCTATAGAACTTTACAACGATCAAAAGTAAATTCACGTGGATTGTTTGAAAGAATAAAGTTACTATAGTGCTCATGTTCTATTGTTCTAAGTATTTTGACTTTTGTAGCGTGATTCAGTCTCATGTGATCAATACGGAACAGGTCCTCATATTTGTTAAAATATGAGTCAAAATTAATGCAAGCTAGACTATCAAAGTAAAAATTCATAAATGTCATTAATGACAGAATCAGTATTTGTTATTTGCGCCTCATTAGATGTGGGATTTTGCTAGGGTATACATGTCTGCATGAGAGCTACCATGATTTTTATTTGAGACTATTCAAGTCGTTTCTCCTAGAGCTCCAAGTAAGTTTCTGATTGTTCAAAGGTAGTGTTCAGTGTGATTTTCTCATCGTCAATTATTAACTCTTGCTACCGATACGTTTAAACTGCTTTCATACCAGGTTATGATATCCCCAACTGCTTCTGCACATCAACTGGAAAAGTAGAAAGAATACGCAAAATGCGAATAATGTTTGATTGTTTTATATTCAGAAAAATCTTGATCTTGGGCTTCTGGAAATTTCTGGGACCATATTAAATATAGTAGCAGTAAATATCCAAATCAAAACTATGACGCTTGATTCTGTATTTTCTAGATGTTTATAAGAAGATTCTATCAAAAGCTCGTTGAATATAATTTTTTGACATCTCTCAGCCTTCAGGGACTTGACGAGAGATATATTTGGGACTCCTTCAACATATGACAATTTAGACTCTATCAATGTTATTCCGATATCTAACGAATCAATATTAGTATTTCGAAAAAAGTCATAATTCTACCGAAACAAATTGTTTTTTAGGCACGTGTCTTTTCGTTAAACGGTACAAGGGTATCCTATCTAATAATGAGTTATTGATCTTCTTATCTTTGCACTTGAGCTGTGTATGTAATACTTAGAACTATTTATTTCATTCGGCTTTGTAAAACCGTCTCTTGATCTATTTGAACTGTTGACGATTTCTTTTCGACAACCTTTATTATGTTTACCTCAATGTAAACTTAGTTTTGGAGTTGCATTAATGCATTACCTACTGTCGAACGTAATACTTTTCCAAAAAAGAACACATATTGTTTACTGTCTCTCTGTCTTCAAGAATTTATCAATGTATCTCATTTTTCCATTGTTATTATTTAGATGGAAATGTTGTCAGTTGTTTATTTCATCTACATTTCGTGATATGCACGCTGAACGTGATCTATTATGTGGTATACTTGTACCTGCTTTACGTAGGAATGTTGCATTAGGTTTACGTGTACATTTAAATGAAATCGATTTACGTTGGGGTGTTCCTGAACCAGCTACATACAATTCACAAGCACTACAGATATGTTTAGAACAAGCGGCTGCTAGTGATATTTTTGTTCTGTTATTGGGCGATCGGTAATACTGTCATGTTCTTTTTTGTCATTTTTTCTGTATAACTATTAAATAATTCATTTTTTGTATTTGTTATTTGAATCTTCCCATTCATGTTTAGGACTGTGAATGATCAATCTCTTATTGGCATATGTGCATCCTGTGCGGATTGCCTCGACATTGCCTAAGTGGATAACGCGTTGGCTTTTGAGGCGAGTGGTACTGGATTCGAGTCTCAGAGTGAACATCAACTCTGGGATGCAGATATATCCAGATGGCGAGTCTTAAATAAGACGAAACGCATGTTGTGCATTCCACTGCTAGCCACCATCCATATATGTTTATAACTAATAAATATTTTATTGTAATTAGAAAATGATCTAAGTTTGACAACTACTGAAAACTTGAGAGCACTACAATGTCATTCTATTCTAGCATGAGACTCCAGTAGTGGGCAACCACGACCCCTCAACTGAGAACCGAACTCAGGGCCATCGGTCTCACTCAAAAACGCTTGACAAATCTAAACTACTGACCCAGCATCAAATAGTTTACTAAATATTTGTGAAGTATTCATTGATCTTTTCTAATGAATGTTAATCATAGCTAATACTTTTGTCAACTCTTTATATATTGAAGCCTATGGTTTTATAGTTTAACAATATTAGTGATATATGATTGATTGGTTATTATATTCGGTACCGAAATATCATGAAACATATTCACAATCATTTCTGTCAGATATGTTTTCGTAACTCGTCACTGTAGTTGATGCCTCAGAAATCGTTTTATGTGATAACTAAAAAAGAGTAACTCATGTAGTTGCCTTCAGTGTTGTTTACCAGAATGTGAGTTATATTTGCTTTGCAATAGTGGTATATATACTTGACAACTCAACAGTTTATATTAGATATTATTTATAGATGTCAGGATATATTAGTTCATTGCCAACAGGTTGTATTGGTGATTACATTTTGATCATCCTTTTAGAAAGTTATGGGAGATTAGTTGAATAGAATATTTCGAATGCCATTCAGAGATGTACTCTGTTGTCTTGACTAGATTTTAACTCTACATGAACTCATACTTTTCTTCATTTTATTTTCCAGTTATGGTTGTATACCAGACGAAGCTGAAGTTATGTTATTACCTGAATCATTATTATCTGAAGTGTGTAAATTTTATAAACCTGGAATGTCTATGACTGAAATGGAGTATCATATGGCTAGACAAGCTGCCATATCTAAAGTCCCTATTCATGAAAGACGACAGCAGAATACAATAAGTTTTCATGAGGCAATACGTCTTCGAATTTGTGTTTTCATTAGAGATTCAGCATCTATAGAGTAAGTCCTGGTTTTACATGTCGTTTTGACTAATTTGCATAAGATGATGGCGATGATGTGTTTTTTTCCTTAAACAATATAGGTTCGTTATTTTGCATTCCACACAAGTTTCATACTTTAACATCAGATAACTGTTGAATACAGTACATGGACGAAGACCATATATTTCAACAGTTAGTTGGTTCTGAAGTTCGTTTTTTCCATATCAGAAAAATGAAGTAATTGCCGATAAGATCATAATGAATCTATTTAAGAATGTATTTTAAATATAACATATAAAATATACAATCCAATATTTTCCTATCTTCATGATATGATAGGAAGAAAAGTCGAAATTAGATTGATTTCCTCATTATGATTCTTGGTTCAACATTATTTCCGTTTTAATTCAATGTGATGATTATTCAGTGTAGTATTCGGTTGAGTTTCCCTGTATGACCTTTTTATTCTGTATAACATACGATATTCTTGTATTCAATTGACATAGACTATACTCAGCATATAATTTGTTATAACAGCAAGTATTTTTCATGTATGTGATTTCATCCTAATTATTAATCAAAATGGGTGTACAACCAACATATAGATGAGTGTATTTTCGATTAGACTTGTCATGGTTGTTCGTGGTTTTGGCTGCTTGTGAAACACATTTCCATCTTCGAACGTGGACTTCTGTCCCTAGTTAGCGGGGCTGTGTCGCATATTGGTCATTTTGTGACAGAGTCTTCGTTCCGTTTTCACATTAGGTGAATTCGTAATTTCTTCAAATATAGAACTTCATGAGCATTTGACATATCTCGTCAATTTCACCTGTATGTTCCTGAACCTACTGATATTTCAAAGATAATTATGTAGAAACATTGTTTTAAACTGATACATTTACGAATTTCTATTTTTAGAAATGTACCAGATGAATTGAAAGATTGTTTTGAAGAGTATGATGTTGAAAGACGTAATCGTCTTAACGCCTTCAAGGAATTAATTCGTAATGATGGTGTTATTGTTAGTCATAAGTAAGTCAATCTATTGCATTCACTAATGTGTTTAAGTAGGTGGCTTATTAGATTAAGTGCTTTGTTTTCAACTTATTGGTTGCAAGTTTGAACTCTACTTAATCCAGTTTAGTATCCCTTTTTTATAGCTCTTGTACTAAATGCTTACCTAAAAGCTTAATACATAAAAAATTACGATGAACTGGTATTACAGCTTTACCTATCAATTCACTCTCATAATTACTATCGCTCATTTTGTGATTCTATTAACAGGTATTTGGAATTTACCAAAGTCTTTTATTTTTAAAAATTATGTTTTACACATAAATCAATCTAGAGTGTATTTCTGTGAAAGGAATAGCAACAAAAAAACGTGAATTAGGTATCAATGCCAAGGTAGGACTTGATGGTTTCAAATAAATTGAGCATTGGTTAGAGAGTTAATAATAAATTTTATTTTGTTATATTCCAATAAGTAGAAAAATTGTATTTCTGACGTTTCCATGGTGGTTCGCTTGAAAATACACCCAAGAATAAAGATCATCGCACTTCTATGCAAAATGCGATAAGATGCTACAAAGGAAACCCCACTGTCTTTTATTCCAAGTTGTACATGATAATGGTGTCTCAAGCTGTTGAGTTGCACGTTGTCTAATACTCCGACTAGGTGAGATGCTAGTCCTAGAGACCTGAGTACATTTTAATTCACTCTCCAGAAACATTGAAGATCAATTAATTCTTTTACATGGTTGATCGATAGTCATTATAAAAGTAGTTAATTGTCAAATTTCCCTCGTTCACTTTAACACTACTCAATTAACATAGATTCGATTAAACATAGAGTATGCCATACTAAACAACTTTTGGTGAGGTTAATAAAGTTCCTTGACGACTATGAATATATTGATTTCACCACCGAATACCATATACATATGCGAACCCTCTCGCAGGACTTGGACCAGGACCTTCGGTCTCGCTTAACCTCTAGAACACTGAGCCAGCATCCGACGTTAATGCCTAACCTTAATCAATCCATGACATTAAGTAATCATCTACCATTGTCTTTAGTTGGTGACTGTCTCGCACCCGACATGGATTGGCTCCACAGATCACGACTTTTCACTAGGACTCAAACAATTGCTTCTCAAAACTAATCATACCATTGAATGCCGACTCAATGATCTAGAGGTTAAGTGTTCTCACGCAAGACTGAATGTCTGGGTTCTGTCGCCTATGATAAGGTCATGGATTCGCACTACTGAGGAGTCCCCTACTAGCACGAAACGGCCGTCAAGTGCTTCCAGGTTTTCCATGGTTGTCTAGCTTCAATTAGCTCATGATTTCAACTATTGAAATTACAAAAATCTCCACAAAACCCCTTCTGAAAATTACAGTTGATTTGAATTTTATATTTTAACTAATATTTATTCCTGAAATAATTTATTGTAGTCAACACACCGTCTTGTATAAGTTGCAGTGAATCGTTATAATATTGGACTTACCTAATCATAATTGTTTGAATTATAGTCAATCAGTCAGTCATAATCAACATATGATCTGAAATAAATATGTGCAGGCCCAACGTCCCGACCGTACTAGCACGCTGAGATGAAGTTAAAATGATACACACCCCTCCTTCTTCTACCTTTCTTCCAACTTACTCTTGAACCAGCTAATTATCGTCCATCTACCTAGGCGTTGGTCAAACGTAATTATCATTTTCCCTAACAATCTCTGTCGATGTAGTTTGCTTTGAAATTCCATTCATTTATTTATGGACATAACATTCAGTGAATAACAGATTTATTGTGTACATCATATAATATGTCTGGTCATTGAATTTCCACTTTTGCAAGTGGATTTTGTCCTATCTATATCTAAATGTAAGTATGTCATCATACTTTCTTATTTTGTCTGTCCATTTAATTTATTACTGTTATTTGTTTTCTCTTTTCTAGTTATATCACTTTAGCTTTAAGCCTGAAATTAAATCAAAACGAGATGATAACTCTACCGTTCAGTCCGATATACATTCTATTTGCAATTTATCCATTGTACCTTTGTATACTTCTTGGTCACATTCTATTGAACATGCAGAGAATGGGACAGGTGAAGCTGGTGGTACTCTATGCGCATCTGCTTCTAATTCTATCTCAGTTAGCGGAGGTGGGAATTGTGAAGTATGGGCGTATTTTGTTGGTTCCAAGTTAGAAAATCCTTTAGTGAGATCAATTTGTCTTCGACAACATAGTGGTCAAATAACTGCTGTCGCAGTACAAATGAATTTTATAGCTACTGGCTCGAAAGATAAAGTTAGTGTTTTAATCTTGTTGTTAATTATGAGAACAGGATATGTGTTTGTGAATGTGTAGCGCATAGATTTTTTAATGTTTAATATATTTGCACGATATCTAGCTTTTTTTCCTTTCGTTTAATTAGCCAGTGAATACTGCATATAAAAGTATAATTTTGACCGTAGATTCCATTTCGAAATGTAATCTTCACTGTATTTGTCTCTTTTTTAATCTCGTGTAAGATGAGATGTGCCACAGCGTCGTGTTCATAGATGACAGATGTAGATAGTTTCAAATAATTGAAATAAAATGCTCAGTGATCCACTAAACCAACAGAAAAAAATATTCGAAGAAAGTAGACATTGTTTTTCATTGAACACTGAAAAAAGATGGTTGTCCTCATTTTGAATGTATAGCAGCTTCTATTTTATTACACTCCTTCACGATTTTCCTCAACTTTTGGGCAGATAAATTATTCTTATCTTTCCAATCATCTTTCATTTTATACGTGACCTTTGGGAGTGTGTGCGTAATAGTAGGTATTTATTTATATATTTACATGTATTTCCTCCATGTCTATAAATGTTGAAAGTTCTTTCTATTTGTGATAATTCTTGATTTTGAATTGAATAAATTCGACGAACAGTTTCAGACAACAGTTTTTCGTCCAGGTATAAGATGTCAAGTTGAATGTACTCCTCAATTTCGAAGTTTTATTTATGAACATCGAATTCAAGGGAGATACGACCGTGAAGATACTGAAGTACAACCCTTTCTCCGAGAAAGTTTTTTTATTCAGCGTGATATTTTGAATTGTTTTCTCCAGGAAGAAACACTTTTGGGGAAATGCCAACGATAAACAACTTCCTCCTTGGTCTACCTTAATGTACATTTATCAGTTTACGTGCTTTTGTTGATCGTGCTCGTGATGAACGAAGTTTTGGAGACTACCCTGCATAGCTATCTAAACAGGAATACAAAATTGATCAAAATCACAATCTCTGATCACGGGGTCAACTCTAGTCATCACATGCCAATCGTCGCTGAAAATCATCTATAAAATTAAAAGTGGCTCGAAAAAGCTTTTAAATGAAGAAACTAGAGCTATTCACCGTTCAAAACGCATCCACTGCGTACAAAAGAGTCAAGTCCAATTCATTATTCTTCCATGGTCTTAGTACAACTTCTAATCCTAAAAATACTAAGTGTCAATTATTATCTCATTCTTCACTATCTTCTCAGTAAGGTAGACACTTATCTTTTAATTATTAATTGTTACTATTTCTAACCACTAAACTGTTATGTAAGTTTATTTCTTGGTATTTTTGATTGCTTGATCCACTTTGAATCACTTTGAAATAAAACACTTCTGTTTATAGACCGTTCTATTCAATATTTTTAACTTTTTAATCATCTTTTGCAACCTCACTAAGTTATTCATTACTACTTCATTTTCATAGACTTCTACATTTAATACTAATATATTAATTCCCTAAAATACATGTTTGTGTTTAACATTATCATCTTTCATTTGATTCTCTTTCTCTATCTATCTAAGAAGACTGATTTATTTCATTTCACAATTCTTATTAGCTCAAGGTTGTATCAGTTCGCGATAAAACATGCATGTTTAAATTAAATGTCTATAAACTACTTACTTAAGCACTAATCATGTGTTCACCAGTAACTGGCTTTGAAATGATCTCAACATTCTAGTTGTACTCTGTGAGGCTAGTACGACCGAGAGTGGGGAGGGTCATCTCACCCCCTCGAAATGCTCTCACATGGCCATGCGTATACAGTCTCTGCTAGGGAAGTCTTACTCATCACTGCCTTCTCGTGGCGACGGTGTTGTTTACCAAATCGAGAGGACAGAAAGCGAATGTCTGGTACTCCGACCGAATTCGTCGATCTTGAGGATCCACCTAGGGGAGTTGGAAAACCCTGATTCCAAACAAATGGTGCACATATGCTCCAGTATCCTGAAGGAACGAACGGTGTACGAACCTATTGTTGGTCACTGGTTACCATGAGACTGCATCTCCCAAAGTTGTTCCATTACTTTGTGGATTAGACCTTTAACTGAAAGGCTCGGGATGTGTTGGGATATTCAGGAAAATATCCCAAAAATCATCCTGTTAAGCCTAATGCTATCCTTGGACATGAAACGGTATCATCTTATTGGTCAATATTTATTTAACGTGTTATTTGCCTGTTGGCCAATATTGTACAATGTTATTTTCTGTTTTGTGGTACGTTGTGGTCTGCTTGACTGGTATATAAACAAAGTATGTTTGAAATATAATGATTCACATATCCGAGGCTGTGACTTGCGTTCTGGACTCAACTGGCTGGGTTAGACAGGGAAGCAGGACCAATTAGAACCCTAGGTCGTTCTACGTGTTTGCGCGTCTTTGGTCCGATCAATAATTCGCTACCCCTCTAATCAGCAGCATTTTTCACGTTATAACAGGATGTGGCTCCCTAAGTAAACCATGTGCTTCGGTTTGGGTGCCCGTATAGTAGTCTAGCTTTCACATAGATCGAATGATATGTGGTGCATATATATATATATATATATATATATATATATATATATATATATATATATATATAGTGCTTCATTGTACCAATGTTTATGTGTGTAAATAAAATAAAAATTAGTCGAATGAGAAATAATTATATACGCAAATATTATCAATGACTCTGCAATATAGCACAAATTGGTTGAGCTTGGAAATGATGATTATGGAATTCTGTTTCAAATGTGGAAAACTATTATATTTCTTAAGTCTAATTTTGAATTCTACGTAGTGTCATTTACTTATTCATATCCAAAGGATAAAATAATTGTTCATTGATCCAGGTAGCATGATTATCAAATTGATCAAATAGAAGAAGCCTAACTGTTGCCGATCAAATACTTTGTTCACTAAGTCAATGCTCCATAAGTTTGTTTTGCAACCGTTTCATTCAAATGTTCAGTGATTGATGAACTAGTCTGTTCATCGTTTAAAATATTAGATTGAATTCACTGTAACTAGATCTCTATTCTTTTTTTGTACGTACCAGAATGTAGCTATCTACAGTTATGATTCAAATACTACAAAAGTAACACTTCAATACATCATACATAATGCTTCTAAAGATTGGATTATATCATTGAAATGGTCATATATTCCGCATAAAATGCATGACAGAAAACTAACATTACTTGTTGGAAGTAATGATCAGTCAATTCATCTATATAGAATTAAATCAAAGAAATATAAATTGAACCAAACACTTGTTTCATATAAACTTGGCATTAAATCACTTGATTTCAATGTAAGTTTTATGGATGGTTATATTGCTAATCGTTTGTGTTTGTTGTTCTTTTATGTGTATGTTTGTGTGCGTGTTTTATAGAAGCAAAACTGTAACTAACCATTCATCAGCTACACCGATTTATATATTCGAGTTTAAAATAGAGTTGTGCTTTTTTTCCCATGAGACCTAGTGATAATTGGAATTAACAAATCATTTATCTTCATTAGCTTTATCCTAATCACATTCTAATAGCTATTAGTGGTAAACTAGATTGAATATTGAATATAAAACAAAGGGAAAGTAGTGGGGTAATCAATTTGTCCAAACCCCATGTTCATCACAGCTTAAATGAAAACTAGTATATTCATTGCATTTTTGTCTTGGTTATTTGAATCTTCCTATTTATGTTTAGGACTCAAAATTGATCAGTCTCCTATTGGCATATGTGCATCCTGTGTGGATTGCTTCGATATTGCCTTAAGTCTTAATTATTATAAGCAGAGATGGATAGTGTCTAGTAGTGGATGAAATGCTCGTCTTGGATTTCATTGTTAGTCACTATCCATCTCTATTATGCTCATTGTTCAATCTGTGTTTTTCACATAAAATTAAACAGTAATTATAAAGGATATTAAGATTAGGTCATCATTATTTAGTTTGTAGTATTCACATCAAATGATTTCTTTCTTTATGTCATACATCAGAATCTACACGTATTTAATTCAAAGTATATCAAAATAAAGATCCATGTCGTCCTTTTTTTTTTCTTTCTTTCTTTTAAATTTCAAAGTTGTAGTATCCTTATATTTTTTCTGCTACATCTGATGGTCATGTAAGTGTATGGCGATATGGTCGAAATGAAAATTTTGAACTTATCAGTGAAATGATAATATCATCACCGTTAGACAACTTGAACTCGAATACAACCAATGAGAATGTAGTGAATCTTATTAAAGTTCAATCATTTGAATATACTCCTTGTTATTATTCCTGTAAGTTAAAATGGTTTTTCTTTTGTTGCGTCAACACATCAATTTTTCAATGTTTAATATATTTATTTTACAATATTTAGCCTGTTTTTTCTTTTCATTTCGTTGTCGATTAAATACTGTATATAAGAGTATAATTTTAACTGAGGATTCTATTTCAAACTGTAATTTTCACTGTATTTGTTCCCTTCTTAATGTTGTAAGTTAAGATTTACTACAGTGTCGTGTTCACAGAATACATATTTAGGTCGCCCTAGATAATTAGAATGAAGCAATCAATGATAATCATGTTCTTATATATAGTACTGACTCACTAAATGAACAAAATAAAATGGTCAGAAAAAGTAGATATTGGACTTTTATTGAATATTGAGAAGGGATCTCACTTTTGTCGAGAATAATTTACGAATTTAAAGCGTGGTTTGCTAATATAGCTGTATAAGTGCATTGATATAGATAGTAATATATTTAATATGCATTTAATTGATACCTTGTGATTAAATGTGTGTAAATGAAGGAGTCATTCACTTCCTGTGATGTAGTGCTTCTTACACGGTTAGTAGATTTTAAATTTATCTTTCCTTAATGCTAAATTCACTTTCAATCACTTGGTCAACTGTTTGGACTGCTCTCTTTACTTATTCCGTTTTTGACTATATCATCAGTAGGTATGTATCATTTTCAGTTCGTTGATCATTGATTCTGTTGTTTAATGACATGTCTGTTGATAATCATTATTATTCCTTTTTATCAAACTGATTATATTTTACCTTTGAATAAAATGTACTTTAAAATTACCAGTGCACTAAGCGTTTACATTAATTTGTATACACTTGTGTAAACTATGCACATAAGTACGATTTCTAGTAATTGGAGCGGGATCATGGGTGCGCACTGTTGATGAGTCTCATACTATGACGAAACCGCCGTCCAGTGCTTCCAGGTTCTCAATGGCGGTCTAGCTTAAACCGGTTCATAATCTCAATCTTAATGTATGCTAATTTTGTATGAAAGAAAATATTTGTAGAAAATAATTCCGTTTGAAAAGTGCTTGTTAAAAATAAACAATTGTCTGAACACAGTTGCTCCAATGTGTAGTTTGGAGCGAGGTTTCAGTAAACCTGGGACAATGTTTCGTGCACTAGAATTGTTCGACATAGTGACACTTGAGGAAGGAACACCTTACTGCCGTCACACCTCTGTACAGTCAGCAGTACGACTTCGCCCTCGATCCTTGAGCTTGCTGTTTTGTTATTTATTTATTTATTTGAACACATAAATATTGGTACAAGCGGGCATTAAATATATATGCTTTTAGTCGTATCGCTCTTTGACCGACCGGTCTGGCACGGTAGGAGCTTGAGGAACGATAGTTCCAGCTAGTACAGCTCTATTGGTTCATCACAATATGCAAGGTCGACCACCATGTCAAGGTGTCAGAAAATTTCGGGACTCATGACAAAGTCATGAATATACACATAGTGTTAATGTGAATATGCAAGTCAAAAGTGAAGCAAATATCCACTGTTTCTCTGTTCTCAGTGACTGTTTCACTGAAGTCACTGTATGTTTAGAAATACTTTATATTATCGTTGTTTGCGCATATTAATTTCATTCATATCATTTACTTTAGCGAACAATAAAAATGTTATCAATTCTTACGATGAACTAGAATCTCATAAAAGTAAAGATTCTGTGGTCGATACTATGGTTTCCAATAATAGTCCACGTTCATTATCGTCTAATAATATTAATAACAATGAAGATGACAGTTTACAGCATCAGGATATTACGGATGAAAATCTAGTTAGCGACGAAGAAAGTGTGAAAGGAACTTCTGATCAGTGCTGTTTAAATAATGATGAATTAATGGACGAGGGTTCCGATGAAACACCAAGTCAGTGCTCAGAGAAAGATCTAATGACTGTGAATAAGTGTAATAATGTTGCTTTCAATAGTGATGAATCAGCAGGATCTCACATTTTTGACAAATTTGTTAATCATCCTGGCTCCTTGTCAGAATTACTTGATGAGACTAATGTGAAACTTTTGGTTGGTCAAACAATTTCCGGTTCACGTAATATTCAAGAGTTTCAATTTCGAGTATATGAACCATCACTTACAGGATATCATGCTACTCTAAGTGGTCATGCTGGCTTAATTCCTTGTGGATTAAGTTGTACAAAACCTCTGAATTCGAATAATGATGATACATTACTTATCAGTGTAGCTGGTCAAAATTGTGATTCTAAAACAATTGGCTGTGATATTCGACTGTGGAATTTACCTTTATCGAATAGTTCTTTATCATGTAAGTGACAATATTATTTTAACTGTTTGATATCTCACAGTATGTAATTCTGTCTCAGGTTATTTTTTCTTACATAACACACACTATAAGTGGAAATGTATCTGTTACTTTTTGGAAGAGAGGCGAACTTTAATTTGTGGAAATACTCCCTCAAAAGTGTTTCCATTAAATTTTTCACTCTGGAAAATCTCTTTAGAAAAACTCAAATTCTTTCAGAGTTTAAGATAAAATTTGGTTTGTAGCTTGTTTACATCTTACTAATACTCCACATAATACCTAATAAACTGTCTTTTCTCTCAATCTGTTTGTTTGCCATAGACTTCAGTATAGTTAATAATAAATATATTTTTTATAATATCTCAATGCGTAGAAAATTGTATTCCTGATGTTTCGTGACTAACTGTAACTCACTTCTTTAAAGTAAACCGACAAATAACCGAAATAGAATTATTACAAGTTTAAATAGTACAAAGGAAACAGTATGGAATATTTTTAGTACAATCGAAATCATAATTGGTCTGAACATGTCATGATGTTTTTGGTCAAGATGAATTTGTATGACATGTCACTGTAATAATTTGTGCGTCAGAAGGTGGGTATGAAAAATTTATAATTATTAACGTGAAGTAGTGTGTGTATGTATGTAGATTGTGTGGAAAATGAAGTGTCAATGTGGTTTTTGGATGAATATTCAGACCTTATTTCTTATTGAGTGCAGAGGAATTTAACATTGTGTGAAACTTTCCGACTACTCGCCTCTCTTTATAGTCGAAAAAGCCTTCCTCAATTATTTTGTTATTTTTAATATCAATTTGATGAATATTGAAAATAACATGTACTAATATTGCTAGTTTCAATTGTAAATTTTCCAATTCTACAGGATTATTAAGTGTTTTTATGTAAGTTAAATGTTCTTTAGAACGAGTTAAGATGTCACCAGAAGTCTCTTCAATGTAGAACGCATCACAATTGAAATAACCTAGTCAATTTTGTATAGATGTAAACAGGATCTTATGTTTTATTCTAACCAAAGCGTTCCATAAAGTGTTGGTTGTTTTATAAAAAGCTTTGATTCTCTGTTTTCAAGATCCGTTAAAATTCTTCTGTGTACCTTGCACTTACATACTTACGCCTGTTACCACTCGTGGAGGAGCATAGGACACCCACCGACATTCTCCATACAACTCTATCCTAGACAATATTTTCCAATTGCAATTCATTCTTTTGATGCCTGCTTCCGATTCCCAACGCACCATGTTCTTGGATCTTCCAATTTTCTGTTTCCCTTCAGGATTCCAAGTTAGCACTTATCTCGTAACTCAGTTTGATTATTTCCGTAATGTATGTCCTACTCACTTCCAACGTCTTTTCCGAATTACCTCTTCAGCTGGAAAATCGTTTGTTCTCTAACAAAGTAGGCTGTTGCTGATGGTACCTGACCAACGGACATTGAGTATCTTGGATAGACATCTGTTTATAAATGCTTGTACCTTTTTGATGGCAGTTTCAGTAGTTCTCCACGTTTCAGCTCCGTACAGTAGGATTGTGTTGACGTTCGTACTGATTTTGATATTGGTTTACAGCTGTTTTGAGTTCCATATGTTCCTCAACTGTAGGAATGCTGTCTTTACTTTGCCGATCCTCGGTTTTACGTCTGCATCAAAGTCTCCTTGTTCATCGATGATGCTTTCTAGGTATGTGAAAGATCCCACCTGTTCCAAAGTTTCTCCATCAAGTGAGGTTGGGTTGGTGTTCTCTTTGTTATATTTGAGGATCTTGGTTTTTCCCTTGTGTATGTTGAGGTCTACTGCTGCTACACTAGTTGTCTTCATTTGCATTTGTTTGTGTGTATAGCATGGAAGAGCTAGGTCATCTGCCAAGTCTAAATCTTCTAATTAATTTTGAGCTGTCCATTGTATTCTATGCTGCCCCTCAAAAGTCGAGGTCTTCATAAACCAGTCAACCACCAGAAGAAAAAGAAAAGAGGAAAGTAAGCATCCTTGTCTGACTCCCCTCCACACTTTGTATTGCATTTGTCAGCTGTTCTCCATGCACCACTTCGCAATATAATCCGTCGTATGAATTAAAAATGATGTTGATGGTTTTCTCAGGTACACCATAGTGTCAAACAAGTTCCCATAAGCTCCACCTATCCAAACTGTCGAATGCTTTCCAATAGTCAAAGAAGTTGGTGTATAGTGACGAGTTTCGTTTAGTTGATTGTTCAACGATGATTCGCAGTGTAGCGACTTGGTGTGTGCACGACCGATCCTTATGGAATCCGGTCTGTTGATCTTGAAGTTGGACGTCTACTGAATCTTTCATGCAGTTCAGCAATCATTCCTGGTACTAACAGTAATATGAGGCCTCTGTAGTTCTCACACTTGCTCAGATCTTCTTTCTTTTGTATCTTGATGAGGTGTCCTTCTTTCCAGTCTGCCGTCACTTGTTCTTCCTCCCAAATCTTTCTGAATAGAACGTAGCGCATCTTTGTATTTGCTTCTATGTCTGACTTTAGAGCTTCAGCTTGTATATTGTCAGGTCTTGATTTGTCTGATGGCCATCCTAATTTCTTTTATCGTTGGTGGAGTGACATCTGTAGGTGCTGCTTCGATGTCCGGTGCATTTAATTGAGCTGTCTATTCAAGAGTTCCTCAAAGTGTTCCTCTGTCCTTGAATTTCAGTTATTGGCTTGCCTTCTTTGTCTTTGACCGATCTCTCCCTGCTAGTTTCTTTGTCGTGTCACAAAGTTGTTTCATATTTCCTTCTCTTGCAGCTTTTTGGTGTCATTGATAGCTCTTACACGTATTTCTGCTTGCTGGTTCTAACGATCCTCTTCACTTGCTTTTTCGCTTCAGTGCATTCAGCTTGTGCCTTGTCTTTCTCTGCTTTTGCTCGGTCGTTGTTAATTGCTGTCTTCTTGTTTTTCTTTTCTTGAATTCTGACCCTGGTTTCGATAGAAATCTATTCCTTATGATGAAGCTTCTTGCGGCCCAGAGCCTCCTGACACGTTGAAGTTAATGCTCCATCGTAGTTTCTTTCTTCCGTAGATCCTGTAAAGCTTGGAACCTGTCTTAATATGTTTTTGATAATATTCCTAGAAAAATTAATAAATCTCACAATGTTACCCCTACGTGTTTTCTTCAGGTAAACCAACTCTTCAACATACTGGACCAGTTATATGTGCTGATTATCTGTATGTGACAAAGAATTTACAACTTTGTATAACTGGTTCAGTTGATGGTGATTGTATTGTTTGGGCTGCTCGTGGTTCATCAACTTCTCAATCAATCAAACCTATAACTACTGCTACCACTACATATCAACCGTTGATACGTTTAACTAATTCAGATATGAAACCAAGATACAGTATAAACAGTATTGTTACACAATCATGGACAATGAATAATGAAGAAAATAAAATAGATTATTTCATTTTTATTGCTTTCGGTTATGAGATTTTAATATTGCACATACACCTTAATCATGATATTTTAATTAATAAAACTGATTTGGAAAATAGTTTATTAGAGTTATTTTCAAATGGAAAACAATTGGATATAAATATTGTTGAATTAAATGCATTATGGTCAATTAAAACAACTGATGGTTACGCTGAAATACAAAGGTAACGTTATAATATTTATTGAAATATGTACTTTTTTTCTAGAAAAGAGATATATTGGACTCTATAACTTAAGGGAATAATCCGTTGAATGTTTGAAGTGAAAGGTATTCGATTCAAGACTTAGTGTGAATAGTAACGCCTAGGATGAGGGTACATCCATCTGACTAATTTCCGGATACCACTCCTACCCGCGACTAGCTATCTAGAGGTTAAGTGGTGGTGCACGAGACTGAAGTTCGCAGATTCGTCCCCTGCTTGTGAAGTCGTGGATGCACACATCTGAGGAGTCCCATACTAGAACGAAACAACCGTCCAGTGCTTCCAGGTTTTCAATAGTTGTCTAACTTGGGTCAGTTTGTGATTTTAATGATATTCTCAATGTGTCTCACTGTTTCATGAGTGCATACCTGAGACAGATTTTCACAGCTACTTTACTCATTCACTCACATAGTATTTTTTGTAATTCAAACACGGTGCAAACTATGTTTGTCATTAATATACTTAGAAATAAGTATTTATTCACATTTAGACAGCCAGACAATGAGAAATGTTGCTATAGATTGTGGAATTCAGTCATATTTATCACTCTCATTTTTAAATTCCAGTTTCCTATAGACTAGAGGGGTGTCAGTCACTTGATAGATATTAATAATAGTACAGAATGCTTGTTTTAATACCCTATAATGCAACGTATAATACTTATTGCTTCTCTGTCGTGGATATTCCGTATCCTTATTGCTTTCTTATTCTTCATCCTTGCTTTGTTGTGTCAAGTCACTTACAATGGTTTGATTCAAGTATGAACTAATTGAGTATATTCAATGAATTCAATTTACTTAATTGTGGCTTTTATCTGAAAAAATTAACCATCTTTTTATATTTCGTGCAGACAAACATTGTCTTTTACTTAAAGACATTAAGTTGGATTTTGTTTAATTCAATGTTGAACTCATTGAATGAAGTAGCTTTTATGCAGACATTTTTTTAAACCTAGACACTCATTTTTTAAATGTTTCTTTTATATGTCGATATAGAACAGTGACTTAATGAATGGGAGAATTATTTGTTTTTCAACCGTTGGGTTTGAAGTTCAAACATTATTCTAGCAACTTAGCTATAGATGCCCGAGTATTATAACACTAATCCTCACATAAACGTTATGGCTTGATACAAATGTCTTGACCTAATAAATAAGTTACATTTCTCATAACGAAATGTAGTTATTTGTATCATTTTATTATTTAAAGTGTTTCCATGATCCTTTTATTTTTACTCTAACATGATATTGTGATTTCGTTATCATGTTTTTTTTCTCGATAAAGATTTAAAACAGACCATATCGTTGTCGAAATGTCTGCTTTACATCATGAACCAGTTAATATGAATCAGTGTGGTGTTGTAGCACTTTTGTCCAATGGTGAAATTGTCATTATTCCATTTAAACGTACAGACGATGAACTCATTCACCTTCGTGTTCAAGATAAGTAAGTGGATTTCTTTTCGTTTTATTTTACGTTGCAAATTGTTATCTACATATCAGCATTTTTTATGCCGCCTATCCATAGATAGCTCTTTTTTTTTTAAATATTCACTAATAATCAGTTAAATTCCATGCTCATACTTTTGTTTTACATGTTTCGCTGTTCATTGACGAAGCTTTCTCATTGATGGTGAATCTTTTATCATGAACACACTTTCACTAGCTTAATCTTAACTTGATTTTAAATGGAATATTAATTTGTAGAGTCTTCGAGTTGCGCTAACACATTCACCCTCTTTCATCCTCTCGATCATAAGTCATGATAATTCTCCCTATCTAATTTCCCATTCCATCCTCTCGAACTACATTCTTTAAGCTTAGTCTTTTTTACTATTATTGCTCCTGCCGGCGATGTTAATTTCCTTATTAATTTTATCTGGTTCTACTGATGTGTTATGGCAATTCAGGGTAACAGATAGATGTTGACTCCATAAGCTGACGAATGATGATACTAATGAAACATATATCCTTACTAATGTCGTGTAAATTTTGTCAACTTAACACGTTTAGAACTACAAGGGTTTATCAACTGTTGGAATACGAGTGTTCGGGAAACATATTTTGAAAATTTATATGAACAGACAGACCAATTACGAATAAGCGTATGAAGCAGATAAGATAAAGAATTATACAACATACACACACATCTATGTAACAGATGTGATAATATCAGAAGGGGTTTTGTGGAGATTTTAGTAATTTCAATAGTTGAAATTATGAGTCAATTGAAGCTAGACCACCATGCGAAACCTGGAAGTACTGGATGGCCGTTTCATTCTCGTGTGAGACTCCTCAGCAGTGCCCATCCATGATGTGATAATAGGTCTGTGAAAATATATTGTATACAAGGTTACAAAGTTCTTGAGTAAATTAGAGTTGAAATATTGAATAGTTATCGTGTATTAAAAACAAAAAAAGTAGATAAGTATACATTGTAGGTATTTCAAATGAGTCACTACAAACACACTTTGTTCCATACTGTATTATGAAACTCTTGTGATTCTCGTTAAAGTTCGTAGAGAAAATTTTCTATTTATTTCAGCAATATAATTTATATCATATTTAGATAATTAATAACGGTAAAATGTACCATTTACTTGAGTGACTAAGTAATCCATTATCTGAAGGAATTCAGCACAGTTTTGTATTTCCATATTACTTAAAAAGTATATTTTCAAAACAAAAAAACAAAAAGAAAGAAAATCAAAGTTCATTCACGATTTGTTGTTGTTGTTGTTTATGTTAATAATATTATGGAGTTTTCTTTTCTCTCTCTCTAACAGCTAAATAAATCATTCTCATTGACTTATCATCATCATCATCATCATCATCAATCTGTAGTAGTTATATGTTTGATCTATTTAATAACTGAAATAAAGATCAAATTGATTATCTATTGTGTTGGTTAAGTGTATTTATGTAGCTGATTAGTTTCAGTGTTAGTGAAATTAAACTATGATGTGCGTAATTTTCAAGGTAGAATATAATCGTGAATAGTTAAGTTTCATTAATTTGAATAATTAGACGAACGAATCATAAAGTAACAGAAATTATCATAGTCTTGGAAAATTTTAATTTTAAAATGCATCACGAAATTGTTTACGAAATCTCGAAAGCCTTGATATGGCCGAGGGAGGAGAGAGTCATCTCACCCTCTCGAAATGCTCTTACATGGCCATGCATATACAGTCTCTGCTAGGGAAGTCTTACTCGTCACTGCCTTCTCATGGCAAGGGTGTTGTTTACCAAATCGAGAGGACAGAAAGCGAATGTCTGGTACTCCAACCGGATTCGTCGATCTTAAGGATCCACCTAGGGGAGTTGGAAAACCCTGATTCCAAACAAATGGTGCACATATGCTCCAGTATCCTGAAGGAACGAACGGTGTACGAACCTATTGTTGGTCACTGGTTATCATGTGACTTCATCTCCCAAAGTTGTTCCACTACCTTGTGGATTAGATCTTCAAGTGGAAGGCTCGGGATGTGGCCCCGTAAGTAAACCATCTGCTTTGGTTTGAGTGCCCGTACAGTAGTCTAGCTTTCATACAAATATATATATATATATATATATATATATATATATATATATATATATATACACTAAAATTTTCACCAGTTCCGAATAACATTTTAGGAATTCATATGGAAATTGATTATCTCAATGTAGAGCATTCGTCAGGAAACCTGATGATCTTGGGTTTGATTGCATGATAGGGTTTTAAATAGGTGTTTCTTGTATAACAAATATTTCCATTGAGTTTGTGTATATTCAACGTGATTTAAGGATTCAATTTAGAATGATGATGAAAGATTGTCACTTAAGTGAATGCTTTCCGAGACTAACTGATTTTAATCATAATGAAAACTATCAATGTTCACTAAATGTTGTTGGTTTGTTGTTTACCATTCTATTACTTTTAGAAATTTTCTGCTTATTTAGAATAATGCATGTTATTAAAATGTATATTGCTACATGATATTTATTTTATTTAGCTGTAATCTTTCAAGTCATTGGTGCAGTTCATTATGTACATATCAGGATGGTATACTTGTAGCACATAATGGATCAGCTTTATTTCATCCATTTGATGATCATAGTGTAAGTGATATTCTATGTATAATACTTATTTCTTTTATAATTATGAATTTAACTAGATTTAATTCAAAATGCACAAATCTATGCTACAACTTATTGTACGAAGAGTTAAGTAATATCGCTTATTACGTAGTTGTTTTAACTCAGTATATAACTTGGTGAATTGTATTATGTTTATGTAAGTGACACGTGTTCTCTACTTTCACAATTCATCTCAGTTAAGACCCAATAGCCGAGTTCATTTAGTAGAATTTCGCGTAGTTTATTACAGAAGAAAATAAACGGTTCTTCAGTACTGAACATTGACGTGTGTACTTAGCAAACTCTGTAAATTTAGCTACTATGTAATGGTATTTCTACATATGTAAATTAGTCTATAAGCTCTCAGTAGGATTTACGGTGAAACTATAATTTATGGACGACTTTTGAGCGACGCGAAAGTAACCTTGAGAATATCCACCTACTAACTATCACTAAATGAGGGCTATAAACCAATGTGAGGAATTCGATCTAGAGTTCTCATCACAAACTGATATCAGTTAAAATACCAGAACACTATCTAGCCAAACGGATGAACGAATTTCGTGCTACAATCCAAGACCTGTTATCTTATATTTGATTAATTCATCCATAAATATATAGTCTCTCTTTCTGTTTATTTTCTTTGTTCATCAATGGCCCTGATTGATAGTCAAATGTTTAAGATTTTGCATCTTTTAAAGAGTAAGTCTTAGTGAGCATATCCCGAAAACTATATCCAACAAATACATAGCAATTCGTGAATATATTCAGAGTTGACTTCAACAAGGGTACTGATTTGTTTCTAAGAGATTTAATTACTATGTAGTATTTTTAATGCAATGATACTTATGAAAATACACCAAGATCATACACATATGTGATAATGTTTTGAATAGAATTCGAACTGGACATCTGGAACCGAACGTCTTTTTTTCTCATACATTTGAATTGTTTTTTTTTTAGTTTAAGTATAATTATCATTTATACTTACGTATAAAATTTTAGGCAAATGTATTCACACCACTTCGTGGATCTATCAATAATTTGGAAAATATCTATATTGACAGAATTGAACCACTTTGTTTACCTAACGGAAATAGTTTCAAGTTGTAAGTTTCATTTTGTTCTTACAAAAATATATTTACACCATTGTTTTGAACACCTACTAAAACTAATTTGTAACACTGATGTGGATGATAAACAATGTAGAGTACCTTTAACAAGTTGTTCCATTTTATACAGTAGTATATCTAGAAGAAAGAAAATGGAAAATTGTTAAACAAATGGATAGAAATATTTGTCATGAACTTACTTTGTAATTAAGCATAAAGAATGTTTTTTAGTAAAAGGTTGTGTAGGCCGTTGAATTTCATTAAAATCATGAACTGATGTAAGTTGGACAACTATTGAAAACCTGGAGGCATCGGACGGCCGTCTCGTCCTAGTATATGTGGACAGTGAAAATAGATGTGACTGACCATTTAGGGTGAATAGATAGATACCTATCTTGTTGACTACTTAATTTTTGGTTTCTTGCCTATTATTGCTTTCTACTTTGGACTCACTGAGTGTGACTGTTAGTCATTGTGTTGAATATGGTGTTGTCCAGCATATTTTCCGATTCTGTATTATTGATTGTGATTTGTATATTTGTTATAACGTGGTATTGTCAATATACAGCTTAGCAATCGAGTATCCAGACTAGTAGTAGTAAAACCTCGTTCACCGGCCGTATTATTGTGTTAGTGTAATGTAACAGGCTGAAATAGTAAATATTTTTATTCAGCCGTTATATCAGAGAATAATGAATGGAATCAATGGCTTCTTATGACGTTTAAAACTGTATAGAAAAGGTATGCATAATCGTAAGTACAAAAAGCTGATCCGACAGTAAACCTTGGCTCTAGGTTTCATTCTATTCGGCACTGGACAGCAAGGTGTACATTTAATCTTAAAGTAAGCGGTGATTCCTGACGTATTCAAACCTCTGTCACTCAGCTTCACAGTCCGAGACGTGTTCATCTATTCCTTCAAGTAATATGACTAAATTTAACTACCATATTTATAGTCTACTGTTTATGATTATATATTATGCTGTTCAGTATCCCCAATGTGTGTTGCAGTAGTTGCTCGTTAATACACTGTGTTATAGCTATACACTTGATCTATCATCTTTTCTTTATTATCGACATGCAATACTAAGCCTTATCAGATGAATGAAATAGAGATTTGTGTAGAGTGCGTAACGGAACCAATTTTTCTTTGTTTATTATAGATTAAAGAAGGGAAAAAAGTGACTGAACGTTTTCATTCCAGTTAAATTTCATATTTACACTCAACATTATAATTTGGCAAACTGACTTTATTTGTTTTGTTTTTTCTTTTTTGTTCATTTAGATTTTATATTGTAACAAGCAAATTAAAATCTGAACCACAGATTATCTTCTTTAATAGTGATGAGCATATGCTATTGAATATTTCGGTTAGTTACTATTGTTTACGCATAAAAGTAGAGCAAAAAATTCTTTTCAATGGTTTCTAGGACTTGTTTGAACATAGATTTGAAGTGAACTTTTCATAATTCCATTGGTGTTTTAGGACTAAAATTGATCAATCTCTTATTGGCATATGTGCATACTGTGCGTATGCCTCGATATTGCCTTAATTTACAAGCATTATAAGCAAAGATGGATAGTGGCTAGCAGTGGAATCCAGGACGCGCGTTTCGTCCTGTTTGGAACTCGTCAGCTGGATGTACCTGCATCACAGAGTTGATGTTCACCCTGGGACTCGAACTCAGTACCGTTCGCTTCAAACGCCATCGCGTTATCCACTTAGCTACTGAGTACTGAAAGCCACTGCTAGCCACTATCCATCTTTGCTTATAGTGAGTGTTATACATTAGAAATAGATGAACTTAGGTTCAATTAATGTTTGTTTTTTACTACAATCAAAACAAGTCTGGTCATGTTAATATCATGTCATTATGATATTTGAATGAATGTGTAGGTGGGTACATAACCCGATAGTTTTACAATGTGAAAAAGTTCAGTTCATCTGTGTTAATATTGTTAGAAATAGATTTTATATATAATTATTTTATTCTGAACATTGTTTATGTTACTTAATTGTGGATATAGGGTTATGTAGATTATTGAATTTCATTGAAATCATGAATTGATCTAAGTTAGACAACTATTAAAAACATAGAAGCACTAGACAACCGTTTCGTCCCAATATGAGACTCCTCAGCAGTGCATATCCACGACTGCGCACGTGGGAGTCGGATCCACGATCTTCTGTCCCACGCGTGAACGCTTAGCGTCTGGACCTTGGTGTTAGTTTCGTAGATCTGTACTTCTGAGGAGTCCCGTGCTAGGAGGAATTGGTCATCCCGTACATTTAGATCTTCAGTGTCGATCCAACTTAAATCAGCTCATAATTTCAATGAAATTCAACTATCTCCACAACGTGATACATATAATGAATCAATGGTCAAATTTGATAATAAACTCTACAGAAACACTTTAAGCTCGTGAATTCAATTTCTGGAGCGATCACTGATGCTTTTCACTAAGGAATCAATCGTCAACCAAAAAATGAAGAAGCTGCTTAGTGCTTTTTAATCTCCAATGTCACACCAAATGAATTTACTATTTGATGGGAAGTTTATAAAGAGGTATTTTGAATTGTTTATTTCAAATTTTACTGGTCATAAATAATCACATTGTATCTGTGTTTATCCTTAGCTGGAAGGAATGGATTTACATGTCACTGCTTATTGTATCACTTCAACTCATCTTGATAGTGAAAAGTTAATAGTGTATTTATTGTTGGCAACGTCGGATAGCTTTCTACGTTTGTTGAAATGTTCTATCAATGTTTGTAATAAATCGAAATTAAGCAAATGGGAACAGGTAAGAAGTGAATAATCACTGTCCTTATTTCTATCGTATGTTTCATATTGCAATATGAGTATTTTAATCAAATGGTAGATTCAAAAGCGGCGGGACTATAATTGATGGACGAAATAATCAGATTTAAGATATAGAGTCTCGAATTTTCGTGTGACAAGCATTCATCCATTTGGCTAAATAGAGTTTTGGCATTATAGACTATGTCAGTTCGTGATGAAAACCGTAAATCTAATTCCCAACCCTAACCATCAACTGTAAATTATAATCCTAATTCCTCACACTGGTTTATAACCCTCACTTAGTCCTAGTTGGTAAGTGAACATTCTCAAGTTTATTTTAGCATCTCCCAGAGGTCGTCTATAAATTATATTCTCACCGTTTTAAGTATCATAACGTTATCCTTATTCCACAAACATATGGTCTTTATATTAAATTTTTTCTGGGATTTTGACAAAATCATCTATTTGATAGGTAATTTATGTCAACTTGATTAAAAATGTACTTTACACAAATACACACTTGTATTATGGTATTTCAGATAATTTTCCATGGCCAAATTTTAGGCATGTGATAACTGTGTACTATTTAAAGTAATATACAAGATATGTACTCACCAAAGGGTGAGATAATAACAATACCAATTGGAGATCTCAAAACTTCCTAACTATGACTGTACCTCAATATCTTCACAACTGTTGTGTTTCTATGTGTAGTACATAGCCACTGGAAGAGGAGGACATATGTGGGTACATGGGTTACTGGTATGTAATCATAAATATCTCGAGTAACACATAGTGGAACCACCAAGTACCTAATATTAATCATAGGGCTTGGTTAATAAATTACTATGGTAAGCTATTATGTAAGGTTGTGAACTTTTGGACTTTGAATAATATGCTAAAGGTCACATGCATAAGTGACAGAATGACAGAAAACAGAATAACTTATTTGTTCAGAAGTCAGAATCAATCACATAGACATGTAACAATATTAACGACAATATACGATTTCCACTTCTTTGACCCTCTTTCTATCAGTTGCTTGTCGCTATTGCTAATGTGTAGTGTAGTGATTTATGCTGACGCATACATTATGTCGTTTCTAATGTATTCCTCCTTCGTTTTACAGCCTCCTCTTTTTATTCTCGTGATCGATTCTCAGTTAAAAAGATACATACAAAGTTTGATTCGATGCATAAATATTTAACACTTGATCTTTGTGATTTCGAACTTCTCTAAAAATCTGCCTACTCACCATTTTAGAAGTAGTAGGTTGCACTTTGTTCAGTGTGTGTGTTTGTGCGTGTGGTGATAGTGACTGTATGCTTAATTATAGTGGAATATATTTTAGAATATTTTGTAGAGTGCGATTTCTTTGTTTATTTTAATTGACTTTTATAATAAAAGAATGAAACACCGCCGTGTCTGAATTGTTTTTTTGTGGTTAGCGTTTTTTAGCGAGTTTCTTTTCTACGAGATCAGGTCGCTAACCCTATGCACAACCCTCCTCATTCATCCAGCCTTGGGATTGGCAGTAGCCCCAGAGGGGCTCCAGGAGGAGTTAAGAATGACACAACCTGAAAAAACTAGTGGTTTGTCATTTCAATTGATTTTTAAACATTTTCCCATGTTTGTTTTATTTTATCTATTGGGTTAGATCAAAATTTATCCAACTGGCGAGCAGATTACGAAATTGGTCACTTTCAATAAAGATCCTGTGAGGATTATGTGTTGCCTTCAGAATGGTCAGATTGATTTTTACACCATAGAACAATAGTGATTGTCTTTCAATAATCTCTGTAGCCATTACCTGTGATGACGTAATCTATCTTTTTATTCTCATTTTTCTTTATAATGTAACTTGTTTTGTTTAATGTTGTTAATTTAACCGATGAATAAATAAATTGAGAATCAAACCAACTCTTTTGTCAGTAATTACCTCGAAAGAAATGTATTAGCATAGAATGAGTTGATTCTCAGTTTTTTCCCGATCATAAGTTTTTCATCATAAACCGACTTTACATGTACAGAAACAATGAAAACTAGACTGTATTTGATGAAACAGATGTTTGTGGATGGAATGTTCGTCATGACTCTCCTCTAATCATAATACTACTAGTACTAATATTGTGCTGATTAGTGACCATCTGGGTAATAGATCTCTGAATTCTTGTGTGATGAGTCGTGATCATCGGTGGAGTTCAACTTTGTCAGGAGTGAGATAGATATCACTTAAAACAAAATATAATGGTCACACGATATCGCTTAATTGACTTCAACTATATAGTCTATTGTGGGACTCCTCCGCAGTGCGCATCCACGATCCCGCTCGGGGGATTCGAACCTAGGGCCTTCAGTATCTCTCGCGAACGCTTAACCTACTGGACCACTGAGCTGGCACCTGATGGTGTTACTGTCTACCCTCAACCAATCCACGAAGTTGTGCGACCATCTCCCATTGTACTGAGGTAGACACCTGTTTCTACCCAACACATTAGCTCCAATGGTCACGGCTTCTCGCCAGAACTCCGAGAATTTTCTCACGAAGCTAGTCACTAGTGAGCACAAATGAGTGATAATCAAGACACCTATTTAACATAAAAAATTAAGTTAACATCTTGAATGAATGGGAATAGGATTTCTTTTTACTTTAAGTTAGAAACCATATTAAAGAGATAATGTAACTGAAAAGCATCAACATGACAATGACAAGTTTACCACACTTTCATTCTGTATATAAAAGTCAAGTCAAAAAGACTTGATGGCACTAGTATTTGTAAAACAGAGTAAAAATGGTATTTATTGCTTGTTAATTAATTTGAATACCTTTGTTATGTCCAAGTTGTGTACATTATTCATTGAATGTCTCGTGATCTTACTTGTGAATACTATACTTTCGTTAAAACAACTCTCAGGGAATATGTGTAGATGTTCTTATTTCAATGCTTCCTGTGTACTTGCTTCTACAAGTACATGTAAATTAATTTATACATTTGGAGGTGACTTCAGAAAGGTATTGATATACTTTTGATTAGTTTAAAGAATACCAGGTATTATATACCAAAAACTATTTTTTTGGCTCTGCTTTAATCTTTAGATCACTTCTACCTGAAATCTCTTCACATGTGAATGCAAGATGGACAAATAATGGTTTATCGCCAACAGTTGTTCATTTAGGACTTTCCAAAAATATTATTTTCCATGGATATCCACATTTTATAAGATGTATGATATTTCTTCATGAATTTTATCTACAAAACAAAATCCTCAAACCCTGTTCATTGGGGTATTCGTTGGAATCATGAACTGATCTAAATTAGACAACTATTAGAAACTTAGATCGGCTGGACGGCACTTTCGCCCTAGTATGTGGCTCCTCAGCAATGCACATCCATGATTCCGCACCCAGGAGCTGAACCCAACAACTTCGGTTTCACACGCGGGCACAGCGCAGTGGTCTATGGGTTGGAGGCGTAAGATCGAAGGTCCTCGATTCGAGTTCAGAGTGTTGAGCCGTAGGTACTCACTATTGAGGAGTCTTATACAATAAAGAAGCAGTCGTCTAGTGCTATTAGGTTTTCCATAGTTGTCTAACTTCCATTAGTTCGTGTTTTAGATGAAATTTACTAATCCCCACAACTCCATTTTTAAAATAGGGTTTTGAGTATGCAATGTCAGTAACTTACAATACAACAACTATTATGATTTAAATATTGTCCCACTCACGTTTGCCTACTAAATAAGGTCTTCTCAGTTGTTTTATTGCTCAGGTGTTCAGGTCCAAACAGAGTAGTTGGTGATTATATTCACACTTTGTAGTCAACTTGATGTTCATGTGTTTTATTGAACTAGTAACTTAACTGTGCTATATGATTCCTATTATTACAAATAATAAGATCTACAATTCCATAACCCCATAGTAACATGATCTGTAGATGGGGGGAGTATTTTACCACCATTTTTTGAATTATAAAATAGACATTCTGACGTTTAAATTTATGAACGAGATCAATCTTTAAACCAAATAAATTGTTATGATTCATTCAAGTAAATAATACTATGAGAAATGTTAGTCTGTGAAATCACTCCAGACTACTTATAAGTAGGTATAGCTAAAGTTAATCATAAGTAAAGCTCTGGTCGCATACGGCTGTAAGATTGGTATAGAATATAATCGATATTCATTATCCATTGGGTTTTTTTTACACGTTTAATCAATAATAGTAATAACATTCATCAAATGGTAATCAATATTACCTTTAAATTGATTAGACAATTTTAATGTATAAGTGGTTTTTTGTTGAAAGTCAGATACCAATCTACATGGAAGAGAACTTGAAGTCTTTTTTTTCCCGGTTACTTGCCAAATCTTTTTTAATTATTTCTAAAGCATTTAATTTAATGGATACCTTATCAAAAGATCATTTCAAAAGTGATTTCAAAAATATCAATATTTTTCTTCAAAATTATGATACTCAATAGTTGCGATAATGTAATTAGAAGACGATTATCAGAACTATGTGTGATATATTAGCGCAATACATTTCGAACAATCTGATCACACATATACTTATTAAGAACATTTATATATAAAAAATAAAAGGTCAAATAGACAGGAAACGGGGTAAGAGGAGATAAGGATAATGATAAGAGTAATAATAATACTAATAATGTGAAACACAAAGCGATACCTAATCACTTTGGATAATAAGTCAATATTACCAAGGTAAGTTTAAGGTAAGAACAAACTGTTTTCGAACACACAAAGGGGGTTTGAATTTGGTATGGCTAAGGCTTTAATAAACCTTAGTATACGCCCTTTTACACTTTTATACAACACTACAAAAGCTGAATTTAGATCCATCTTGTGACCCGTTTCAATTATATGTTTAGCAATAGAGAATGATGGATGTTTATCCACTGCTCTTATTGAGTCACTTGATTTTATTTGTTTCTGAAGCCAATTGGGTACATGTTCACTAACCCTAATGTTGAGATCATGATTACTCCTCCCTATGTATGTGTGACCACACACACATTTAAATTGGTAAACACAGTGGGATGTGACGCAATCGTTTCCATGTACTTTAGGTTTTGAATGAAGCATGCACCTTGTTCTTTCTTTAGTCATGACCTTTGCTGCGCAATAGGTCTCGCTGTACCATGGACTTTCCATCTATTTATGAATTTCAGAAGATAGCCATTTTCTATTAACGTTTTATTTAACAACTTAACATTATCATCAATGGCGTCATTGGTACAAATACGGTCGAGTCTGTTGAAAAGACACCTTATCAAACGACGTTTGTATTGCACAGGGCAGTAACTATAATGGCTAAGATATTGACCTGTCCACATTGGTTTTCTAAAAATAGATCGCTTGACTGAGCCATCTTCTCGTCTACTCAGAAGTATATTTAGGAAGGGAAGCTGATCGTTTTTCTCTTCTTCACATGAGAGACTAATATGGTTTTGGAGAGTGTTAGGTTTATTTACTAAACGGTACATATCCTCTTTTCTCTCACAAACAACTAAGATATCGTCCACATATCTCTTATAAAGTGACATATTTCCGATTAGGTCATCAGTCTGATTTTCAAAATGTGCCATGAACACATCTGCTAATAATGGTCCTAGCGGACTATCCATAGCAACTCCATCAATCTGACAAAAGTATTCACCTTCAATAGTGAACTGAACTTTGTCAGTACATAATAATAGTAAATCTTTCAGAAGTTTTACAGGTACACGTGATTGAAAATTGTTTTCAGATATGTAATCACATAATATATCAATGGTTTTTTACATATATATTTACATATATATATATATGTACATTCAACACTACATTATCGGTTCGCTGACTCACTCATTCGCTTCACGGCTTTGTGGTCTGAGTTATCTGCTAATAAAACTCTAGTCACTGCTTCTCTTTGCCTTCTGATTTCAAACAGCGTTGACGATTATATGATAACGGTTACCAGGGTGATTGGTCAACGAAGCACAGCCACTGCATATCCAGTTAACAGGTAAATTTGAATTAATTGTGATTCAATTACTCAAGAATTTCATTCAAGTACATAATTTACGAAATCAGTAAATTAATTGATTTAACTAACAGATAGAATTAAATTATGGAAATAATATATTCAAATTGGAGTTACACGTAAAGATCGATTCACGTTCATTAACCAGTTCCAACTTACTAATGACCAGACATATCTCCTTTTTTTCAGAGCATTATTACTTAACGTAGTAATCAATATAATGAATTATGAATTACTATGTATGTGTGCACTTTAAAAGAAACAAATCAAGCATAACATAAATACAAAGGAAATTAAGTATTCAGTTAATGTCAGAAGATAAACTGTAACTTAATCAGACATTAATTTGTTAACCAGTAGTTTAAAGTCTCATCAATATCAAAGTTTTTCTGTTCAATGAAATCATCATCTTATTTCGGATTAATATCACCGATACTTTATAGTCATTCGAGTTTATACTTGAGGAGTCGTACGAGGGCACAGGATATTATTCTTTTTAACCAAAATACTAGTGCTGCTTATGACTGGAGTATTAGTATAATTTTAGAAATTTTTGTACTTGCCTGAACTAACAGCAAATACTTTGATGTCTTCATTGTGTGGCAATGATCTAACTCTAATTACCTTATCCAATAGAGTCCAGTTAAGAAGGGTTGTGTGTGATCAGTGGGATGTGGTGTTGCTTTTACGATGAAGATTTTCATGAAATCCCTTGTTTACCCACCGATAG